CCTGCACATTCTGCAATTATTGTTAACAGCCCTCTGACTAATAGGGTGGGTCTCGTGTCAGCAAACATGGTTCCACCCTTTGATGCTTCTCATTCATTATTCACCTAAGACACTTTTTATATATCTCCTCCCTCTCCCTGTGTCTCCTCGACGTTGTTAAATATTCATACAAAGAGCCACAGAGTCACACTAAAGGCTCTGCTCGTTTGCTCAGTCTCAACACTGAAATGCTCTCCCCAGTGCCCGGAAAGAAGGCTCATTATCCTGCAAGGGGCTCACATTGACTTTCGGTGAAGTTACAGACACATTACCACTAGAGGAAAATGTTAAATGTCATGCTCACATCTCTCTAATACCACACAAGTGATCTGCATGTTACCACAGACGGTATTAAGGGGTTGTTGCCGTGGTGTTGCAGCAAAGTCCTTCCCAGAGATCTCCTATGAACCAAGCGCAGCGACCAGGACACATTTTCTTTGGACATTTTCTTGAGTAGTACTGCATTTGCTTGTCAACTCGTAAAACTTGAAAACTGTCACATGACCAAGTCAATCATACTGTAGTAGCTTTAGGTGATTGCATTAAGATGGTCACGGTAAGATGTAAAGTATGGAATGAGCCCAAATAGTGAATACAATAACTCCAGGACGTTTGTGTAAAACCAACTACAGATACAGATACACTATCTGTGTTTTTTTTTCTGGGAATTTTGGGACGTAAAATTGCAGTTTACACTTTATAATTTATTCTTTATTGTTTATTGTTTATAATGATATAATTTCCAGAGCAGAAACCAAATTTTACATCCAGTAACATTAAAACAGACTATTTTCGGACCATTTTTTATGTCTAACCTGCTAGTGGTGGCGGCTGCTTTCACATAGCGTGTTACAGCAACAGGCAGTAGATAAATATACTTTTATTAATGTTGAAATATCTCTGATTACTTTAGTAGTAGAGTACTTTAACTGCTGATATTGAACTTCAAACCCAGTTACACCATGTCCTCATTAGAAGCATCTCTGTGTTGGAAAAGCTCAGTGCCGTATCTTAGCAACCTCTTTACCACCTGCAATGATGTGTGGAAGGAAGGTTGGAGTGTGTGTGTGTGTGTGTGTGTGTGTGTGTGTGTGTGTGTGTGTGTGTGTGTGTGTGTGTGTGTGTGACACAGGAAGTAAAAGAAAGAAGACATCCATAGGGAGTCAAAAATGTAGGGACTGACAAGTCACTGAATCCAATACCTGGTACCGAAAAGAGACTTTTTGATAGAGGAAAAGTGGGGTTTGAGAGTTTAGTGACTGAAAATTTACATATTTCAACAGTCGCTCAAGGATACAGAGAGTTAGGGAGTAGTGGAGCGAGAGAAGAGTGTGTCGGGCAGCCAATAGTTAGAGACGGAGGGCGACAGAGGACAGCAAGAGAGAGCGGGAGGGATACATTTTTCATCTGAACATCGCTAGTGGGCTTTTTTTTATTGAGAAATGAGAAAAACAATCCAATATTAATATGTGTGTGCGTGTGTGTGCCTTTCTACAAGTGTGTCCATAAGGCAGATCCCATTTTTGACCATCAGTAGCTGTAGCTGTGTGTTTCATCAGCATAAGTTTTGGGAAAGTGGAGAAGGATGGTGAAATGAAGCGAGAGTAAAGAGGCAGAGAGGGGATAAAAGACGAGTGGGTCGAGTGGATGTGTGGATCAAGCTTGAAACGGCTTGTTTCTAATAGCTACATCAATGAAGGACAGAGACAGAGAGAGTGCATTAGCTGAAAACAAAAATGCCCAGGGCGCATTAGTGGGCTGGTAGATGAGCTGAAGTAAGAAAAACAAATCAAAAAGATTCGAGAGAAAGACATGGGGATGACAGACCTGTTTGCATCCTGTTTTCTGATTGCTATCTCTCATCACCTTGCAGAAGACTGAAGATATCCTTGAGAACTTGTTTCCAACATACACTCCATATAATTACAACCCTGTTTCTTCACCTCTAATATTTGTCAACTAAAGTAAGAAAGTGAAAAGAAAATACAAATTACCTTTTGATAGTGGCTCAGAGGGTCACAAAATATGATTTGCACTTTGGAGGTGGGCTTAGCGATTCTGGAGAAATCCAATAATATGGCAAACACCATGATACAGTGTGATACAGTGTAATATAATGTAACTAACTTTAGCTATGTTGTGGGTTTGCAAACTGTCGCTGAAGTTGTTGCTGTGCAGCTAACATGCAGAGAAGATGAGACGGTTTCCCAGAGCCAGCCCACCGGCTGCAGACAGCCATACTCACAACTCTCCTGCTACTATAGCTGACATCAACAACAACAGCATATCTTGGCAAACTAGGAGGCGAATGTCCGTGGGCAAGTCATTTAATGTTACCTGACACACACATCCTGGCTGGAATATCAAGTTAGTGTTGTGTTTCCCATTTACAGTGCCATAACTGTGCACAGCCGTTGCATTTTTTAAGCTCGCACACAGAGCGTAAAGCCAGCGGATCGTGATGACATGATGAAAGTGTGTTGGATTAGAATAGCATTACTTAGATTCACTCACCTTTAATTCTAGTGGTGTTGGCAACCTTGGAAGTCATTTAAAATATAAACCAGTCCCACAATCTCTTAGGCTGAACAAGGATGAGAACCATAATTAAATACAGTAGGCAGGAGGGCCAAAGAGTTCAAGCGCACACTAATTGTAATTTAAACAAGTCACAGTTCCATGATCAGCATAATGCATACATGGCAATACTAAATATTACATCAAAGTCTCTGCTTCACCAAGCAAAGATAACTTGTTGGACTTTTTTCTTTTCTTCTTTTTTTGGGTTTTGTGAAAGGCATGTCCAATAAGATTTATTTGTATTATTATTCTTTTTTTTATACAGATTCTTATTTCACAATCGTAGTTCATTGTTCGTGGTAGCTGTGACCCTGAGGGCGCACAGACAGGGAACAAAAAAAATAAAAGTATGAATAAATAAGTGGAAAAAACACTGAACAATGAATCCAGATTATTCCATTCAAGGCTGTTCTGAGGCTATGGCTCAACATCTTATACTGAGTTCCTAATCAGTTCTGAAATCTGAAAATTTCGTTAATCAGCAAATGTTAGCCTGCTCACACTGCTGTTAGCATCTAAATCAAAGTAAGATAAGATGCTAATGTGGCTTAAGACTCTTTGTCTCGTTTGTTTCATATTTTACACCCAAAATATCACAAGCCACGGCTGCAGCCCACTTGTTAATCCTTCCCTCTATCCACCTTCCAACATACACTCCATATAATTCCAAAATGTTGATTTAAAACCATTACAAACTTTAATTTTCTCATTTTCACCATGTGTCAGAATCAGAATCAGAAATACCTTAATAATCCCTTTAATAATTCCCCCTGGGAAATGTGAATTCATATCATTCATATCCTTCAGACCTCTAAAATAAATCAGAGCCTGGATATGTTTGTGTGTTCTCTGTCATCACATCAACATTGTAGATTGATAATTGTTAAGTTCATTTGCATGTAGCTCATGTTGCAATCAAAAACATTTATGTTTTATGAGTCCTGATGAATAATAAATGAATGTGACCATCTGAATGAATACAGGAAAAAGCTTGCACTAAATCAGTTCAATGCACTCTATTAAGCTGATAGACGTGAGTCATTTTTAAGGGAGGTGATTCTTTTCTTTGCACTCCCAATATAGACCATAGAGATGGCATATGGCTAAGACACATGCATTTTGTTAAGCTCTCTCAGATCTTTCACATGGAGTGAACACACACACACACACATATACAACATGTATTAGATGCCTACACGCACACACACAGACTTTAAAGGGCCATACTTCACAGAAACGGTGTATCCTGCGGGACTCTCCGTGAGGTCTGAGGTGCTTGAATCAAAGTCTCAGTGCAAACACACACAGAATATGAAATATCTGTCGTGATACTGCCTGCCTATGAAGTCTAGTTAGTCGAAGGCTCTTAACAGCCTGCAGAGGATTTACTGTTTATGTACATATTTACTCATATATTTTCCAATAACACACTGACTAATGCTTCCACTTTGTTCCTATTTCTATTGCAGTAGTGTTCTATCTACAGGAAAAATTGCCAAAGCCAAAATGTGACCTTTATCTGACAAAATAAACTTTCAATAAACCTGCTTGAGAAAAGTCTGCTGCCAGACTTTTAAATCGCCCACATGTCCTATTTTTCTCATTTATTCAAATATGAAGGTGAAACAAAATGGCAGTTCAGTCTGGTAATGTGGCTGTGATGAAATAATTAACTCTACTTTTTAATTTAAAAAAAAGTTTTTATACAACCAAGGCTCAAATAAAAACAAACCAACATTTTTATATTAGATTATTTTGTATAGGGAAAGTATGTGTTATCCCATTAATAGACATTGGATCTTTGCTTTTGTGGGCCAGTAGGGTTTAGGACATATTGGGTTTTTCTCATATTCAACATAACAATAGATAAGACTGTTCTGTGATGTGTGTGGTGATGATGATGAACATGATTTGTTCTTTATGGTTCCTTTAAAATCATGTCAATCATTTTAATTAAAGCTGCAGTAGGTAATTATTATGAAAATAACTTTTTGTTATATTTGCTGAAATATTAACTATATCCTGACAGTAGTACATAAAACAAATGATCTGTGAAAAAAAATCCGGTTTCTCATCCTAGTGCTCCTCTAGCATCAAATATGCATTTACATTTTTGTATCTTTTTAGGGTCACACTTTTTCAAGTGACTCTGGTTCAATTCTGTGGTCACATACTGTGCAAAGAGGCACCTAAAAGTAGAATTTTGAAAGGTCTAACAAATGAATGTGCTGGGAGAAGGACACACAAGACAAATAAACTGGCAGTAAAAGAGAGTGTAAACACATTGATCCGTATCCAGATCACTTTAACCTGGCACCACTCCCTACCTGAGCCTTGTAGCAGAAATCGAGAAAAGTACAAACAACTGGATAAAGGCTGACTGGATACTAGACAGTCTTGTCTAATTCTGCTGGGAAACAACAACTGCAGTGGGGTGACAGAAAGGATTTTAAAAGAGAGGAACCTGTGTGTAAGTTGCCCTTTTGTTTCTCTCCATACCTAAGATTATTTATACAGTGACTTCTGAAAGGTCATATGAAAATGGGAGTGGAATAGGTGCATGACATTTACCTTTTTTAAGAGTAAAAACAGTCCTCTTAATGCCTTCATCAAGGCCATGTTCTTTATTATGTTGGCTTAAGTTTGCTTGATGCTGTTAGTTGTTTTTAAGGCTCACCATATACATACACCATATGGCATTTCTCTTATTCTCCTGACATATATCTATATATTTTTTAAAATCTTTTACATCACTTTTTCTTCCTCTCTTCTTCCCTTCATGTGTTCACCTCCCGTGACCCTCTCTCACCCTCCTCTCAGTAGGATGATGTGGCGTATGCGCAGTCGCTCCAGGACAATCTGTCTGTCCTTGGCCTTCATCACAGTTTTCCTCTACCTCCTCCTGGCACTTGTCTCTTTTCCCATTTACCACCAGCCCTGTGACCCCCCACTGCCACCCAGGACACACATCCTGCGAGACCTGGCACGCATCAACTACACCTCTGTGGGGATGAGTGGTCCAGCTGAGCCACCAACTGATACCACACATAGAGATTCTTCCAATAAAGATGCCAATAAGGATGCCAAAGGCCATGTGCAAACACTTTCTGACGTGTTGTTATCAGTGAAAGAAGGTAAAAATGCCCCAATGAATACGCAAGTCAATGTGGGTCGCCATGCCGCCAACCAAGCTGAATCTTTGGCGTCTGGGCTCTCAAAGCTGGAGGCGTTGTTTGATCATCCTCTTTACAATATGCCCAGCCTTCCAATCCCTGACGAGGACTGGTTGTTGAAAGTAAAATCAAAGGTCAAGGCTAGTGAGAAGAGCTCCCAGATGTGGTCAGTATATGAAACCGTTAATGTGGAAAAGACTGTGAGTGTCTGTGTGTGTGTGTGTGTGTGTGTGTGTGTGTGTGTGTGTGTGTGTGTGTGTGTGTGTGTGTGTGTGTGTGTGTGTGAGAGAGAGAGAGAGAGAGAGAGAGAGAGAGAGAGAGAGTGAGTAACTGTGTGTAAGATTTCTCTTTTCACATCATCATTCTCACAATGAAAAAGTATCTTCCCAAAATCACTCTCCTTAACCAAACAGATCTGTATTTGCTTTATTTCATTTCTTTAAGCATCTTTCAGTTGCCATAGTCAGTTCAATACAACTTTATCCATGCAGGGGCTATTATATTCAACACCTTTCTACCCAGGACAATATATATATATACATATGAGGGAAAAAAACATTTAAACACCAATCTAAAGCCAATAGAAGCTGGTGTCTTTGCAGTTTCCTCTGAAATACATCTACACTACATGTCAGATTTTCACCAGATTGGTCGGACTGCAGGGAGCAGACATGATCTCCTGTTGTCAAGGCTTGTTTATACTTGTCACAATGCCGCTGCTATAGGTTTCTGCAGGTATATATAGAGGTACTCAATTAATGTACTGTATGTCTTCAGATAACCAACCAAACAGGCTACAGGAAACCTTCACAGACACAGCAATAAATATGAGTGGCAACCTTGGAATGCTTTGTATTTTGTGTGGCATCTTTCCGGTGGCATTTCCCTCCTGAACACAATCCATAGTCTCTACAGTTTCTGTTAAAGGTCCACTGTGTAACATTTAGAAGAATCTTTGGCAAAGAAGTAATATAATGTTCATAGGTAGGCCTATATGTTTTCATAAGAGTATAATCACCAGGAAATAAGAATAGTTGTGTTTTCATTACCTTAGAATGAGCTGTTTTTATCTACAGAGGCAGCAGGTCCTCTACTGTAGTCTAGAGTCTGCGATGTTGAGCTGCCATTCTTCTACCGTAGCCCACAACAGGCCTTTCACATTTACAGCGAGTTTTGTTGACACTGTAGTTTCTTCTACACGTTTGGGTCAGAAGGGTGAGGCGAGGGCGTACTAAATTCTACTAAATGTTACTGATTCATTTGTCAATGACATATTCAATTGGTTATTGTTTCATCTATAAAACATCAGAAAATGGCAAAAATTTCCATTAAAAATGAAAATGACCAAAACACAAATTGTCACATTTAGAAGCTTTTTTCAATCATCAAAATTGTTGCAGATACATGTTTTTCATTAATTGACTATACATCTGTTTTTTTTATTCTTTTAGAAATACTGCTGGATAAATAATCAGTTCTTTGTCTAGTCCAATTGTCCAGTCTCTGTAAACTCCCAACCCATCACTCTCTCGCCTCCTTCCCTCTCCAGGGTGAGTGCTAGTCAGGAAGACCACGAGGACATCCAGTGGAACAGCAGCAGTAACAGCCATCCTCCCTGGCTGCGCTTCCACCTGGGCATCTCCCGCTGGCAGCTGTACCCCCATCCTGACCCCAACATGGAGCTTCTGACCCAGCATCTCGCCACACATCGCATCGTCAGTGCAGGTGTGACACAAAACTTCTGACTTGTGTTTTCATTTGGGTGACATATATCTGCGCAGTGTTTCCTTGTTTAAAAGTTTTACTCCACCACAGTACAGCACAGAACCTGACACTGTTACACCAACAACACATTGATCAAGCACGACAGAGAAGGTGTCAGACGAGCAAAGGCCTTTGTCTTAAAATGGAGTAGATCTATCAGAACCAAACCTAATTTCACCTGCATGGAGGGAGAGGGCAGATGAAGTGGAGGGTTGTTGTGACTGTGTGACACCTGAGGTCTGGGGTTAGACTTGCAAATATAGATTCACTTTGAAGTTCTTCTCAAATAAAAGCTACTGTGAAGCTTTGAAGGGCCCTGGAGGCTCAGCATGGGGGGAGAATACGAGTCACCGGCCATGTAGCAAACATCTCAGTGTCAATCAATCATACATGTTTCTCCACAGTGACTTTTTTATGTGAGTGTAGTGCCTGTCAGTGCATTTGTGTATATTTAGTTTATTAAGTTAAACTTGTGTGTTTACTTGTGTGAATTCTGACATTCTACAATTTGGACATATTTAAGTATGTATTTTTTACTGAATAACATCTACTGTTGCCAAAAGTGACAACTGCTGAATAATGCTTACCTTATAGTATAAAACTACTGCAAGCAGATAATAGTCATAAAGTCTTCCTTCCAGAATGATGCTATAATGCATAAATTCAATGAGAACACAACACAAATAGTACCTAAATAAAGACAGAAACATCAGCTAAATCTTATTGTCTTTCCACGTTGTCCTCCAAAGCTAGGAAGCAGTCTTGGCCTCTTTTCTAACCCACCACCAAGAAAACTATATTAACACACCCCCTCCAATATTCCAGTCTCTCACCCATTCAATAGCAATATCTGCCTAAAGGTTATTAACATTAGTTAACCTTAGCTACCAATCATACCAGACTACTGCAGAATTAAAGTGAGCAAGCATGTGTTTTATTGTTTCTGAATTAAATTTTTAATTCACAAGAGGAATAATGTGTTATTTCATTTTCCAAAAGTGACACAGCCTTGCTTTAACCAGCAGTGTCGTAAATATGGGCACGCAGGGACTTTTATAACCTTATATGAGAAGCCATGTGTGGAATATTCACTGAACCTTGACAAACTGTACATAATCAGAGAGCACAATGCCTCTGTGGCAACAATTTAAGATTATAATTGCAGGGGGTTGTGGGTTTGATGATGTATTTAAGATTATATGATTAAAAAATATTTTTTTATTTGTGAACGCAGTGTATAAATCTAATGTTGAACCAGGGATGGAACACCCACAGGCATATAAGGTAGCACACACAGATTTCCAGGACAAGGTTAAGCTATATCCTTCTAACTTACTGTGCCAAATGTTTCTGATAATATCATGTTATATAGTGAATGCTGGGTCACACTCACAGGAATGAGTACACAATGCCCTGCCAAATATAGCAAAAGCCATGCATGTATGTGTGTGACAAATGACACAGTAGTGTGTGCCCACTCTTGGTGATGATGCACATGATTCTCTGTTATCTGCTTTGTCTGTCTGTGTGTGTGTGTGTGTGTGTGTGTGTGTGTGTGTGTGTGTGTGTGTGTGTGTGTGTGTGTGTGTGTGTGTGTGTGCGTGTGCCCCGTTAATGGAAAAAGTGTTTAGTCACAGCATGGTAAGTTGTATGTTTGTGTGTGTGTGTGTGTGTGTGTGTGTGTGTGTGTGTGTGTGTGCACTGTATGCTTTGTTGCTATGGAAACATTCTCTGTACTGTTTTTCAGTGCAGAAGTCTGGGGGGACGCAACTGAAGCTGGTGATGTCATTTCCTAACTATGGACAAGCTATGTTCAAACCCATGAAGTGAGTTTCAAGTGGCAAATCCAACACATCACTCATATTACAAGGAATGTATGTCTGAAGTCCAAAAAAGATGAAATCCTTGCAGTTGGGTAAAAACAATCCGATAAGAATCAGAATTTTGTTTATTGCCAAGTAGGTTTTTACGCCTACGAGGAATGTGACCTGGTGCAGTTGGTGCATAAAATATACACATATACAAATATACAATTATTCAAATCACACAAAAATGGCACAGAAAAATAAAGTACTTTCAAAAAATAAATAGATAAAGATAAGAAGAGAAAGAGAAAGCTGTGCAGAAGAACGTGGGTGCATTAATGTAATGCATACTTTATATACAGGGTGGGTATAAGAGTTAATGACAGTGGGTAATCCGGGCCTTGTTAAGGAGGCCAGCTGCAGACGGGAAGAAACTGTTTTTATGGTGAGACATTTTAGTCCTGATGGACCGCAGCCTCCTGCCAGAGGGAAGTATCTCAAAGAGATTGTGACCGGGGTGGGAGGGGTCAGCCACAATCTTACCTGCACGCATATATAAATTATACATACATTATGAGGTTAAACTGTAGAAGCAAAGAGAAGGATTTTTAAGCCTTCACACAGCGATGAAATGTATTGAGTGAGTAAATGTTAGGAAGGACGGTGTCAAATATTTCATTATCTGAAATGTTGGGAGATTTTATGGCTAACAGAAACTACCCAGCTCATGTGTGCTTGTTCGAAGAAAGTGAGCAAATAAAAGAGGCATTACTTGATAATTAATGTATTCTGTGCTGTAGTTTGACTTTGCTTCTCCTTGGCAGGCAGGAGAGAGATGAAGAAACCAATTACAACCTCTACTACTTCTCAGACTTTGAGAGACACAATGCAGAAATTGCAGCTTTTCACCTGGACAGGTACCAAGTCCATTTTGCTTTTAATGAAATAACATCATAACACTGCCTGAGTCTGCACAGTGAGTGAAATGGTGGATGAAATGGTCTGCATAATGAATAAATATTACGTAACAATGAATTGTATTTTCTTCTCTCCTCCCTTCCTTTTCTGGTTTTCTCTTTCTGTCTCTGTCCGTCCCACGCGTCTTTGTTCTCATCTCATACTTTCTTCCACTCTCTCTGCAGGATTTTGGGTTACAGGAGAATCCCTCCAGTGGTTGGGAGGCTTGTGGATGTGGTCACGGAGATAAAAGATGTCACTACTGACCGCAAGCTGGCCCGAACCTTTTTTACCTCCCCTGGTACCTCTCACACAATCCTCTATTATTCATTTAGCCGGCTTTAAATGCCCTTGTGTGTCAACTGATTATGAATCTCTTTGAATGTTCTTCCTTTCTTATTATTCTCTCTTGTCACAACCCATAAAACTCTTTTATGCCAATTTTTTCTTTGTCAAATTCATTTTCTCCTCTCCTCTCTTCTTGTCTCTCTGTGCTCCTCTGGCTCCCCCTAGTGGGTAGTGTATGTTTCTACGGCCAGTGCTCCTACTACTGTTCAACAGAGCACGCTGTATGTGGCCGTCCCAGAGACCTAGAAGCCTCCTTGGCTTTCATGCTGCCGGATCTCTCCCTGGCATCCCGCAGGACCTGGAGATCCCCCTGGAGACGCTCCTACAGCCGCAGCAAGCTGGCAAAGTTAGTAGGTATAGGGTCTTTAGTCATAGAGGAACCAATGTTCTGGATGATAAGTGATTCAGCATATCACCTTAGCTAACCCCCCAAAACTTAATGAGACCATGATAATGAAGAAGGCTGTTTTTTGATCAACCTAATTAAATTTATATAGTTATTATTTAATTATTTTTTCATTTAGGTTACAGCTACAGCCTTCAGTCATCCTTTATTAACGTCATACCACATGAATTTTGAGATACCAGCAGAGTTTCTGCACAGAAACAAGACTTAGAAAACTGGCAGCTTCTGCTGGCATCTATATCTACATGTGTGATTCAGATTATGCTGGATTGCATTATAGCACAATACAGGGGGAGGACTGATTTCTGTTCAGCCAAAACAAGTGGAAGGCGTGTATCTGTTGTCTTCAGCAAAATGAAGCAGAAAAAACACTTTGATTGAAGAGGAAAAGGTCTTCTTTGTGCAAAAAAGCAATTGAAATACTAGAAATGTATTCCTAATTTGGAACAAAAAACATACAAATAAGTGATAGAGTCATATCAACTTCATGTGCCTTGTTTAAGGAAATCATGCCAAACGGTGAATGATGTCCGTCTCTGTTTCAGGTGGAGGACAGATCCAGACTACTGTTCGACAGTGAAAAAGACCTCACCATACAACAAAGGCACAAGACTGGTGGACTTCATAGATATGGTCATACTGGACTTCTTGATGAGTAGGTTCATGTACATAATGTACATTTGTTTGTAAGAGGTCAGAATCAAATGTCAAACTCTATATGGGTTGAGTGAATGGGGATGACACACAGCAGAAGAGTCTGGCATAGGTTTGACTTCTTGCTCAAACCTTTTTGATGTTTTAATGGTGATAGATTTTTCACAGCGGACATTTCATAGCAGGAATACCACAGGTGGAATTAATAGCATTAATCATAGCTGCATTCAATTTAGGTTTAGCAACTCTAGGTGTAAATAACCTGTATTTGTTTGAAGTATCCTGTGAAAAAGGTCCATGCAGCAGAACAATTATGCACAGATATTATTGCATGACATTTAATGGCAGTGTGCGACGCGTTAATCTCAAAATACAGAAACATCTAAACCTTAACTTACCTAAAGCAAAAAAATAAAAATAAAAACATGAACATTTTCTGTTGCTGAGGCAGCTCACATACTAAAGCTACACTTTCAGTAATACAACGTTGAACACAGATGAGATGTTATTGAGGAATTTAAAATTCGGATTTGCTGTGATTTCCTGATAGTCAGTCTGCTGTAACCTTAAACTATTAAGATTGTTTTTTAAAAAGCTATAAGGGTAAAGGTTATTTAACAGTTAAAGCTGGCATACTTGACCTTAACTGGCAGACCGACCAGCTCCACAGCTTATAACTTAAGTTACTGTGGGTTACCGTGGCAACGAGCCGTCGCCGTGGCAACGAGCCGTCTCCCTGGTTGCGCTGACAACTTCTTCACAGCCAGGTAAGAAAGTCACACAAGTTAGTTTTGTTCCTATGTTGGTTAGTTAGCTAGTTAGTGGTTTTAAAGTACTTATTTCACTTTTAGAAACATCACTGTCTGCTTTTGTAATTGTCTTGGTATGTGAACTTATGCAGTACAACAGGTTTAAACTGCGGCAAGTGTAACGTCTTTGGTTTAACTACTAACGTTACTTACGGAGCTAACTTGAGCTGGTGACGTAAGCTTACGTTAACTAGCAGGCTTTGCTAGTAAACTTTAGGCTTTAATGTAATTGAGGAACCCGTAACTCTAATTTCAATATAATATCAAGTATAATGTCATTCATATAAAAAAGATATTTAAGTTAAAACAAGATAAAGGCCTACAATCTGTATTTTATTGCTTGCTGAATAACAGTCGAAGAAAAAATGCCTAAAAAGTATCTCTAAATAAGATATTTGTACACCAAGATGGTAACATTTTTCAGGATTTGTAGCCAGGTATATGGCATAGCTGAAGGATAATAATGCTGCTTATCTAGCTATTAATAATAATATTGTATAGTTATATAATATATATATTTTTTTTCTTCCAGAAAGAGTAAAAGGCCTAATGTCGAACGTTTGTGCTACCTAAACCTGCTTATGGTATTCATAAAGAAATCAGCAGCATGTTTGCTGCCAATCCAGAGAAAAGATCCCACGATGGAGCTTCTCAGACCTGTGGTAAAGACATTACTCGGCCTGGATCCAAGGTTAAGAAAAAGGGCCACTCACCTGAAGTGACTTTACCACCACTTTGCCGGGAGCCACCTTCCCTCTCCTTTGTGGCCAAGCCTTCGTTCAGTCGTGCCTCCATCCTCAGAAATGTCCCTTCTGACAGGCCTCTATCAGTGGTGGAACTCCCTCGTCTCATAGCCCAAGTAGGACCTGGAAGAGCCATAGGTGATGCAAAATGGACAGAAGGACCTCGACTAATGGCCTCAGCATTAGGGACCCACATCCCTATCAGAACTGCTGATGAGTCTACAGCACAGAGGTAGATAGAAGAGTTGTAGATTTTAATTCACCCATTTGTTCTGTAACAGTTTTTTAAGTTTTGGGTGTCATTCCTAATTCAGCTTATGTGAAAAGTAGTATGAATGTATGACATAAAATCAATATTTGTATCACACACACTACTTCAGAAAGAAATGAGTATGATGAAATATCTAGTGATGTTGATGATATGTAATCAGATTCAGTGTGTCTTGGTAGGCATGAGTTATATTAGAAATGAGTATTTTCCAGTTTCGAGGTATATTATAGGAGCTCTGTTATGTGATTTTCTTTCACTTACCAAAGTGCCATAAAGAGCTGACAAATTTAGCTGTCAGCATTTACTCCCCAAACTATTTGATTCCTGAATTAAGTGCTCTGTTGTTTTACACTCAATTTTTATTGTTGCAGTCTTACAGGGAAAGATGAATCCATAAAAGTCACAACATGTAAGGATAAGAAGATAACAACTGTGAAAAATGGGAGCGCGACCAAACCAAATAAAGTTCCTCTCACAGGCACAGAGGTAGTTCATATCTTTGCCAGGAAAAGAAACCCAGGAGATTTCGAGTTTTATTACCTAAAAGAAGTGGATGGGGACTCCTACAGGTACACTGAAATAAGGTTATCTGTCACGCTTTCATTTCAGACCCCTATAGATGTTCTTATATGGTAATTGTATTCTGCTGGAATGTACACAATTAAAACTATGAATGCAAAGTGATATGTCTGCCTTTTTTTTAGACCCTATGACCTGCGAGTGGTCCCTCCCAGTGAAGCTGGTTCTGAGCACTACATCTTCTCCCCTAATACTGTACTACATGTGACAGCAAGGGGTTATGGTGGACTTGTAAGTCTGGCAGAGTGGTACAGAGAGTCTGTGTTGTGGACAGCTTTGCAGGAGATCCCGTTTTTCAGGGACTTTAGACAGCGGAAAGCATTCACGTGGTAAGTATGTGTAAGCTGTGATAGCTTTCTATGTCTTCTTTTATTTTATCTTCATACTTTATATGCTTGGTGTTTTTTTCTGTGCCAGGTGGCATAGAGGTGTGCGCAAAGTCATTTTTAAGCGCAAGTGTAAGGATCTGCAGGATATGCTGGTTATAGCTGTACCTCAGTTCAGAAATGCTCTTTTTCTGTTCACCAGGTGAGTCACATTGACGTACAAATCATTCAGTATAAATTCAATTGTTTATTCTGATGTAATATTTCATGAGCTATTAGACCATAAACTGTTAGATGGGACTTGTGTTAAGCTTTCAAGGACCAGTGTGTAGGATTTAGTGGCATCTAGCATGAAGTAAAGTTGCAAATTGCAACATTGCTCCCGTCTGTATTTGACGACCTGGTAATGTCAACAGGCTGAGCTACTGTAGAAACATGATGGGTCAACATGGCAGACGCAATGGAAGGTGACCCACGGCATCTGTAGATAAAAACAGCTCATTCTGAGTTATCAAAAACACAATAATTCCTGTATCGAGGTGATTACACATTAATGAAAACATACCTATGAATATTATATTCCATTTCTGCCAACAAATCCTCTTAAATGTTACACACTGGACCTTTATCACTAGTTACTCAGATTACCCGGTAATGATATTGTATTTTTACAGAATAATTGAAGAACTGAAAGGGACACACCGGCTGCCCCAGGAAGAGGCTGAAACCTACACATTGCAGGAATTCAAGAATGTACTGATAACCATGAATCAAGAGTATCTGCAGATATTGAAGAAGTTATCACAGTATCGTGCTGCCATCCTTAATGGGGTACCTCAGTTGTTTTTCTGACATAAAACAAAACAATGACAAACTTAAACCTGTCTTAAGGTGTGAAGAATAGCAAAAAATAAAAAGAAAGTACAGTTTAATCTCAGAAAGAAGCCTGTTTATTTCTGGAATAGATTGGCACAGGGTCAGTTTTTTAGGAAGCATGTTATTAAAAACGTAATACTGTAGAGCTTTATCTGTATATTTCTTTTATTGCAGTGATGTTATTTCATCCCCAGGTGAAAGAAGGCAGCTACAAGGCACACCAGGAATTGCAGCTGCACATGGAATATGCAAAAAAGCTAAATGAAACCTATGAACCCATTCACCTCCATCTGACTCACCAGCAGGAGCTGAAGAAAGAGTTGGCTCGGTCTGAAAGCGTCTTGCAGAAATTGGGCAACTTTGCTGCTCTCATCAATCAAATGATTGTGCAGAGTCTCGTCACAATCAGTCGAAAAGATGCCATTTCTTTTCTCAACAATGTTTTGAAGGTGGTCCTCTTGCTGCCTAACTAAAAATAACATTAACATTCACCACAGAATTGAATTCATATTTAATCATATGTGAAATGAATGCTGTATTGATAATGTATGATTTATTTTTGTTTGTTAGAGGAAGAAATCTCAGCAGCGTTGTCTCTTCCACACTGAGCTGTGTTTCAGTGCCAGTAGTCAGTTGACTGTGGACCCACCAGTACATCTTTTCCAAGAAGCAGTGAGTGAAGCACTCCTGACTGTTGGTGACTCTATAATTCAGGTAATTTACACATGTGTGAGCACTGGACAGCATTAATGTTACTTGAAATGTGTCTTATATTTGTTTTAGTAATGGTAAAAATAAATTAGAACATAGTATTTAATTTCATAATCTGAGCATGTTATAAACAGAAAAATGGTTCAGGAAGACAAATACAACACTTATTTAGGATTAATACTTTCATTATAGTTAATATGTTATCTTCATGGTGTTCATTGAAGAACTGTTTTTGTAATTTTGAACAGCATTTTGATCATGAATTTATCACCACCCTTATAACACCTTTCTTCTCTGGTAGATGTGTGACACTTGTGGATTATTCCTAGAGATCAGCAACAATGTCTTCAGCTCAGATTTTGCTCAGGATTTAACCCCTGACTTTGGTTGTATTGAACCTCCTAATGTTGCAGGTACGTCTATTTGTATTCAAGTTGTTACTGGTCTTCAGATTTCACTGTTCTGGTTTCACTTGATTTGAACTTCTGCTGATCCAAGTGTTAACTATGTTAACTATGTATGTTTTGTTGTTTTATTAACAGTTGGAAGCCTGATTATTTTCAATGTCCATGTCTCTTAATTGCCAGGGGAGAAAAAGAACAATGATGGAATGACTGGTCACAGAAAGTTTTATTGTTGCCAATTGTTTGGAGATTTGTCATCCCGCTGGCTGGTGCTGCCTAAAGCAACCTTGCTAATGGTGCAGGGCAACCGGCTGCATGGGTGCTACTATCCCCTCCCCAAGAGGCAACTGGAGTGGCAGATCAGCATCAATGATGTTACAAAACAAGTTGAGAGAGAGCATGCTAAGATCATGCGGGTACGACTTTCATTTTCAAATCAAGTACTAGCCACTGTTAATGCATAATCAGTAGTTTGCACACCTGCTCATGTGTTTTTCTTAATTCTCACTGTTCTTTGTACAGGAAGCTGAACTAGAAATCCAGCAGCTGTGTGAGAGCTACTCATGGTTGATGGACATCCATTTGTTCATTCGTCAATGGAGCCGAGCCTCTTTGGAATTCATGAAAGGTCAGCCTGCTTTACTGTATGAGGAACACATAAAGAAGGTACGCCACTGGACTGAAAGAATCTACACAGTCCCCTCTTCAATCTCTACCTCCAAACAACTGTTCACCATCCAGTGCACCAGAATAAAAGAAAGCATAGGTATGTCTGCCCTAAAGTAACTAAATCACCTCTCTAAAACACAGATTCCTATTCAAGAACCATTCAGATCAGCATTGCCCCAAATCAGGAATGAATAATAAAACAATGTTTTCTAAAATAAATGATTAGTTATATCCCCATGTTTTTGTAAAATATTAAAGTGTATGGTTAGTTGATTGGTTACTTTTTCTTTATGCAGAATCCTGTAATACTCTTTAACCTTTGTTTTTTAAGGGCAACAGCTCAGGGTCATTGAGGAGGAAGTGCTAGAGCAGCTTGTTGAGCAGATAAAGCTGCACTCAGAAAGCGTCATATCAGACATGGAGAGGGCTACTGCTGAACTCAAGACGAAACCCCATGACTTACATGACCTCTCAAAATATGCTTTTACGGTACAGAAACTCTTTCAACTTTACATACTGGCATGAAAAATAAAAGTAGAAAAGGGGAAACACATATAGAGAAATAGATTACTGGTTATGTGAAAGGAAAAAGTGTAAAAAAAAGATCTTATAAAAGTACAATACCCTAGGTTTCCCTGTGTTACCTTTACAAGGTTGGTAAATGGAAGATTCAGATCCTCTGAGACTTCTCTTTTGGTCACATATTCACTTTAATTGAATTATTCATCCCAGGGGCTCTGTCTTGTCAGAGCAAATGTGTTCTGAATTTAGATCCCATTATCCAAGAATGATCAGGTGGTGCATAGTGCATTAAGGTTTTCAGTGCTGTTGTGCGTGCAGTAGTGTATACTGACATGAGCAAGTACTCCAGTGAACTTTTGTGATGATGAGTTGGTAAACCCTTTCAAAATGCAGTTTAAAGTCAGAGTAAAGGTTTATAATATTTCTTATTCAATCTGTAGGCACTGCTTCTCTTAGTCATCTCACATATTTATAGCATATTTTATAACATGTCAACATTGAATGAATATTTACAACATCAATATATGAAAATGTTTTTTAGTCATTATAAACTTGTAAAATTAATTTAAAAAATGCAAAATCTGTCTTCAGTTGAGGGAGTCTGTGAAAATGTTGGCGGACATGCAGAAACGTTCGGAGTACATTCACTCCCTCCAGGACATTATTTGCATGAACTACAGGAAGATGACAGAACAGGAGGTGACTTTGGAAGAAAAGGTCTGCAGCATAAAAGTGAAAATCATGCCATTAATAACCACATATACTCGTAAAAGCTTTTTTTTTTACACTGCATTGTGTGTTTGCTTCTGTTTGTGTTCTATATTTAGATGCTGAACATGTTGGACAGCTTTATTCCCCTCTTGAAGCAAGCAGATAGCATTGTGTGTCGCCGTCTTCCTTCAATGGCTAATGCACTGGACTCAATGTTCTCATTTTTGGTTCATGACCTTAAAAATATGGTCTGTAAAATTACATCTGGACCCTTCCTTGACCCAACCCAGAATCCAAAAGAGATGGTGTCCACACTGAACCACATGTGTGCACATGTGGACAGTCTCAATGCAAAGTTGGAACAACTTAGTGAGAACAGTCAAAACCTGCAAGGTGAGATTGTACAAATTATGGATATAAATGATTTCCTTCCTTTCCTCTATACTTGGAAAAAGTACTTTTGATATTGTACTTTTGTTTTTAACCACTGGTAGATTAAGCATGTGTGTTAAACAAGAAAAAAGAAGAAGAATGAAGTTTAATAACAGCAAAAATAACTTTTGGTGGTTTTGGTCTTATAACAACTAAACTGTTCTCATATTACGTAGTAACCCTGATCCTATCAGACTGTTGTGTTTTACTGCCTCCCATTAGAGCATCCAATGGATTTGACCATTTTGACAACATATGTCCAGAAGGTAAAAGCCCGTAAAGAGTTGTGGGAGCTAGTAGCAATTTACACAACATGGATGGAAGAATGGAAACAGCTGCTTTTCAGTGAGGTAACATGTCAAAATAATGTCTCTCTGCTTAATAATATGTTTGGTAAAAAAAAATGTAATCATTTGTATGCATTCATGGTGAAGACAAATGTATAAGTAATCTGTTTAAACGTTACTAAAACTTGAATTTGCTCTCTCCTTCATTGATTACCTTCTTTTATTTCTTTGGAGAGAAATAGTCTGATTTTAAAACCAAGAGTACTGGAAATCCCATTCTTCTCAGAAATGCTAAGCTCTACTTAGATATCATTCTGAGTTGTAAAAGTAATAATATTTTGTTCTGTTTGATTACAAAAAACAAAGTTAATACCATATGTGATTTAAACCAACAAATCTTTTTTTTGTCAGGTTGTGGTGTCACAAGCTCAAGGAAAAATTGCCAAGTGGAAGGAGCAAGCTCTATCTCTAACAGATATCATACCTACCCATGATGCTGTGCTGCAGGAGACTTTGGGAATCCTGGAAAGCTTAAGCCATCAGCTTGCAATCATGGCTAAGCTGCAGAGCCCCACACTCAAAGATAAACACTGGAGAGTTATTTTCGAAGGTCAGACAATGTGCCCATATTACATATATAACACCTGCATATAACCACAGCATATATGAAATGATCAAATTACATTTCATCTGACAGAAATGGGCCTATTGTATATCCCAGAGAAGAAGGTGACTGTTGCTGAACTGATGTCTATACAACTTGAAACTCATCAGAACCTTATTAGCAAGGTGAGAGCAGGGGAGATCTTACATATTGAGCATATATTGGCAGTGCTACTAAAATCAAGACACGAAGGGGGTTGACATATTTACTGGTGGGAACCAGCTCATTAAACAACAAACTATCCTTAAATGTCATTAACACAGTATACTTACTGTTTATGGTACCTTTTACTCTGCCAGATATGCAGGGATGCACAAGCAGAGCTTAACATGGAGCAGACCTTCAAGAAGCTTCAGCAGGGATGGGAAGCCAGACTCTTCCAGCTTGTTAGATTCACTCTCCCTGTTTGGCAGCATTGTGAGCCACAACATGGACTAACAGAGACAGAGAAGCCCACACAGGGCACCTTTTCAAATCTCAAAACTGGCAATCAACATTCCTGTAATAATGCAAGATTGACCATCACTGGTGAGATTGAATAATATTCTAGCAAATGAATAATACAGATATAATCATTGTTGTAGTCACTGTATGCAGTTAATACTTTGGCTCCATTGCTTGGGGGAGATGTGTTAAATCAATTTTCTGATTACAAATTTCTGAGGTGTGCCATGTATTTTCTCAGGTCTGGAAATACACTTTGCTGAGATAGAGAACGATTTGATGACTTTGTCCACCATGTTGAAATCCCCACACAGTGTTGAGTTCAGGCTGCAGATGGAGGATTGGGTGCAATCACTACAAGATCTTGGTAAGTTGAATATTCCCCAAAAAATAAAGATTTTGAAATACAGTAAGAACATTGTATTGTTTTTTATTTTTTATTTTTATTTCCTTTCTATGTTAATAGAGAAGCAACTTAATTTATTTGAAAGATACCAGGAAAGATGGGCCTTTCTGTCCAAGATATTCCATGAAACCTTTAATGTTCAAAAGGTGGATCTGGTACGTTTCTGTGTTATCACAAATCAAACATATCTCATTTTTTCAGGGCTATGTAATTGGTAAATTTTTAGTTTTACCAATTTCAGTTTACATTTCAGACATATGTTGATCATGTTTTTCTATTTTTTCATAGCTGGATCAATTCCAACCAGTTGATCAGACATTTAGGGAAATGATGCATTCTGTATCAACTGACCCTCATGTGTTGAACTTTGTTCATGCCAAGAAGACAAATGGCAGATTCCATGGCAATGGCCTTTGCCAGATTCTCATTGATGGTCTGTCTACAATGGATGGTATTTCCAACCAAATGGTGCATCTCCTGGACACCATCTGTGAACAGTTTCCAAGACTCTGGTTCTTGAGTGACAGGGAAGTGATACAACTACTCTCCTTTTGCGCAACGCCTTACACACTGCAACCCTTTGTACGCAAATGCTTTAAAGGGGTACGTTGGCTTGAGATGGATTCTGAAACACCATCTAATGCAAGAGATGTAAAGAGCTGCGGGCCTGCATCTCAAAGCCACAGAGAGATGAAGGTGCTGGGTTTTTTTGGCAGCCTCCAGGAGCACATTACCTTTCTGTCTCCATTGGACCCAAATCTCAATTCCTTGGTTTGGCTTTGTGTCTTCGAGAAACAATTCAAGTTGACCATGGTACAGCTCATGAAACAATGTGCTGTTGTGCGAAACCAACTTGAACCATGCAGTCAAGATTTGGCATGTGATAAGAACATTGGAGACATCCGGTGCCAAATTGCTGATGGGAGGAAAAGTGCACTCCCTGTGCTGGATCTGTTGTGTGAATATCCTCTTCAGTGTCTCCTGGTGGCCGAGGAGGCAGTTTGGTGCAAGGTTTTGCTACAAGCTTTCCAAGAATCAAGCCCAGTAAAGTTGAGAAACATAAAGGCATACAACTCTGCAAAACTGAAAAACCTTGGACATTCCATTAGGGATGGAGTCACAGGGGCTAAAAGGGAATCTCTGGTTCCTAAGTATACTATGATGTGTCTGCGTGCTTTAGTGGAACTTACAATGAATCATGCACAGCAGCTATCTAGACTCATGGAGGTACAGTATGTACCTCTGGAGTCATCTTTTGAGTGGCTAAGTTTGATGAAGTATCACATAAACTTAGAAGACTGCAGTCTAAATGGACATGGTGATCCAACATGTTATGTGGATGTTTTTGGTCATCGACTCCAATATGATTATGAGTATTTCGGTCCAGAAGATTGGGGGATGGTGCATACTCAGTCTACAGATCGGGCAATACTGGGGATTCTCCTTGCTCTGACAAGTTACAGATGTGGGTTTGTGAGTGGACCTTGCATGTCTGGGAAAAAAAAGACTGTGGTCCAGTTAGGAAAAGCGCTGGGGCGTCAGGTTGTCAATATACAGTGTTGTCCAACCACGAGACCCAGTGTTGTTCTGCGGATGCTGTTGGGCGCCCTCCAGACTGGAGCATGGCTTCTGCTTGACTCTGGGGACTTACTAACACAAGGGGTCCTGTCATTACTGGGACAACATCTAGTAGACATTCACCAATCTTTCTCTGGGTTAACGAGAAATAAGAATCAAAGAGTGAATGAGGATCCAAAGAACAGGACTGCTGATGGGGTCATGGGTTACAAAAACTTTGCTGATTTAGAATGCCATATGGTATTTGCAGGTAAAAGCTTTAGTGCCAGCCTGAGCTATGGATGTGTTCTCATCTCATCGAAGGGATACACATCTGAGGTCCCAGAAAGTCTGCGATGTGCAACCAGACCCATTGCGTTAACCCATCCAGATTACAGGATCATTGCAGAAGTAATGCTGGCTTCCATTGGTTTCTCAGAAGCCCTGTCTTTAAGTCGACAACTGGTGTCCCTCATCAGCCTGGCCAAGGATTCCCTCTGTCTGCCTGAGTTCATCGCTGATGACCAGAGCTGCTATCTTGTTGTCTTGCAAAAGATCATCTCCGCCTCTGGACTACACTTTCAGCAAAGTGTAAGGCAACGGAAAATTTCAGATGAAGCTATAGGATTGGCTACAGAACAAACTGATCTTACGTCTTCACAAAATGTGACTTCCAGAGTTACTGAGAAGGATAGAAAGGAAACTGAAAAGCCTTCCATGTTACGCAGTTCTCATTTGTCAGTTATACAGGGATTAATGGAGGAGACAGCCATTGTCAAAGCGATTCTTTCTGTCTTAGTACCTGTTCTTCATGAAAACAAGAAAGCCTCACAGTTCTACATCATTTTCAAAGAAACATTCCCTATAGCCTGCCAGTTTCCTCTTTTCCAACAATACATAGAGGATGCAGAAAAGAACCAACTAAATGATGCAGTTACAGAAGAATTACAAAGAAAATGGCTTCACTCCGACTCCGAACTAATTTGCAAGGCCCTTACACTCTACCAGACCATGAAATTATCTCAGGCAGTTATGCTTATAGGCCCCTCAGGTAGTGGAAAAACAACCTGTTACTGTGCTTTAGCTGGAGCCCTTAATCGTTTGGCTGCCAGGGCAATGGAATATGTGTTTGAAAGTGACAATATGACTGAAGGAGATACCCCAAAGGTAGAGCCACTGACCTCTGCTTCAACCTGGAACTCTGTTGACACTGTGGTCTTATTTCCTAATGCCATGTCCCATGAAGAGATATTTGGCTGCTTCTGTGAAAAGAGAGGATGGCAAGATGGAGCTGTTACAAAGGTGCTGAGGGATTTAGAACGACGTGAACAAACAAGTTCTACCATCTGCAACAAAAAAAGTAATCAGGCACCAATAGTGAAATGGTTAGTAATGGATGGGAAGCCTCTGGGGCAGCCTGGCTGGTTAGATTATTTAACCACACTTTGCAGTCCTGAGGACCCATTTCTGTGCCTGTCATCAGGTGAAACACTGCCATCCCAATCACACCTTAAACTGCTTATGGAAACCACTGACCTCCGTGATGCAAGTCCCTCTGCAGTGACCCGTTGCAGCCTTGTTTATTTCACAGGTACTGATCTGTGGAAGTCTTTGTGGAAGAGTGAAATGGATGCTCTCTCTTTTGAACACAAACTGGATCAAGGCACCTTGAAAATGTGGAATCGTCTGGCTGAAGATCTTTTCTCCAGCACTCTAAGTTTGCTCAGGGAAAAGACTTTGACCTCTGCAATACACAATGAAGGAGAATCATTTAGAAAACTGCATGGACTGCAAGAAATCATGTCATTTGTTCGGATCCTACGTGCCCTCCTACAACATTTTGGGAGGGAAATGGAAAAAGCCGAGGCAACACCACAAATAGACAAAAGAGGTATAATCATTATGCATGAACTTTGTGAACATACAGACTAGTTAAGGTAATGATTTTTCTTTTATCAGTACTGTATCACTTTTTCTCCTACCAGATATACCTCTATACAGAACTGGCACAACAGGCTCAGAACCCCATACTAAACAAGAGCTGCTGGCCAGGAACCTTTTTCTGGTGGCTTATATTTGGGGATTTAGTGGACATCTGCATCCTCGGTAAGATCATCTTTATGGAAATTTTAGTCACATATATTTATGCAAATATTTAGTATTTATACTATTGCTATTAACATATCTAATCACAGAGTATTTACAGAAAGCAGCCTAAATAAATATCGGTCACTTATTTGAATCATATATTTTATGTTTTTTACTTCAGCCACTGGCCACAGTTCAACTCACTAGCCTGTCAAGTGCTGTTTACTTGCCGGTACAAAATTGTGGTTCCTGATGCAGAGAATGTGTTTGAACACTTCTTGAACATAGACAGCAAGATATGCTCCAGGAACACACTGTTGACAAATTCCATCACTCCCAAGGTTTGTCCTGAACATTCTGTCTAATATAGTGAAAGTACATAAATTCAATGATCACTGCATACATTGTAACTAACATGTGTTTTAAATCTGTTTACATAGTACAAGACATATACCTATCTCCTGAATCTAATGTTGGAGGCAAACCAGCCAGTATTGCTCGCAGGGGAGCCTGGTTCTGGAAAAACCACCCTGTGCAAAGCTTTGCTGAGTTTTGACAAGCCACATATTAGCCTACCAGCGAGTCCACTCCTGTGCTCCAGAGAGTTGCGCCTTATACTAAATAACATCAGCTGCCAGAAGAACTGTAAAGACTCAAAGACAAAACAGCCGCGACTGCTTCTTTTTGTGGATGATTTGCATGAAGCCCCCTGTGGTGAGTAAAAAAATGTAGCTTATAGAGAACTAATACTACATATTTGTACCATGTGAAAATTTAAGGTCAATATTTCTGTCTTCCTGTTGATAGATGTCTATGGGAAGACGTCAGCAGCTCTAGAGACACTGCGCCAGAGTATTTCAAAGGGAGAGATTCTAACATTTGATAACTACAACTTCAAGTTATTGAGTTCTGGAACCATCAGCTACATGGCCACCTGTTGTGTCTTTGGATTGGGCAATTATCACAGTAATGTGATATCCTGCAGGCTCTCACGCCTGTTCTCCATCTTTGTGCTCCCTAGCCTATCAATGGACATTATATTGTCAATCCATTCTCCTCAGTTAAAAATCTGGCTCAAAGATATGCCACTAAAGCAGAGTGGTGAAGACATGGCATCTTGTATCATCACTGCAACTAGAAGTCTGTATCACGCAGTATGTGACCAATTCCAGCCTACTGTGCACCGGCCCCATTTTATATTTTCCCACCATGACCTTCAGAAAGTGTTTTGCGGGATGTGTTTGTGGCAGCCTAACATCCCAAACACAGGGGAAATGCAGAAAAAGGAGAATTCACTACCAGGATTTGGTCCAGTCCTGCCAGGGCCTGAAACATTAGTTCTTAACATAGTACATCTCTGGATGCATGAATGCATGCGTACTTTCAGTGATAGGTTTTGCTCAGAGAATGAAAGCAAAACTCTTATGTCACTCATAGCCAAGATAGCAACAACACACTATGGAATTCGTTTGGTTGATAAAACTGAGCCTGTTGGTGAAGATGACCCACCCATTGTCCCAAGCCTTGCTATTCCCACACTAATAGGTCAGAGTCTAGATACACTAAATCTGCCTCAAGAGCCAAACACAACTGACCAGTCAGACCTGAAGAAAGGCCATACTTTGACTGAGATTTCCCTTCTGTCTGAAGACAATCGCTCAGAAGAGGCAAGCCTAAAAACTCAACCTCTGCAACCCCAGATTCTTCAGCACATGGAGGGTGTGATGGCTAAGTTTGTTTATGGTCCTGAACTGTCTGAGGCCCTGAAGTCAATGAATCAGCAAAACAATTTTAGATGTAGCAGTTCTTATCAGGACCGAGACATTGATGTACTACTGCAGGAGCTGTGTGCACTCACTGACAAAAAAGATGAAGAGAAAGTTGATCATTACTACGACATTACAACCAGATACTTTGTACACAGACAGGGGGTAAATCAGCTCTTACATATTCTCAGGGCGTTGCTCATACCTGGGGGTCACGGAGTGCTGATTGCGTCAGACAGAGGCACAGGCCGTAAAACCACTGTGCGTTTAGCTGCTTTTGTGACAGGCTACCAGTTGATGGAGGTACATCCTGGTAATGAGAACAAGTTGCATGAAATCCTAAAAGAGGCCAGGAATCAAACTAGAGTGGATGGAGTTAATGTCATCATACTGGCCCATGAAGGAATTAGCCAGTCTGTCAGAGAAGAACTATTGGTGACGATGGCTCACAGAACCTACCCAGGGCTCTACACAGAGGAGGAGTTGAGAAACCTTGTTTCCAGAGTGACTGCTGTGAAGAATTCAAGAAAATACCTTTTGGACAGTTGGATGTTTGAGAAGTAAGAAGACAATACCTAATTAATCTATTAGTCCTCATTCTAGTTTGTCACATTGTTTAGGCCTTGGAGATAACTGGTAGTCAATTTCACTTAACTGCATTACATTGTGTAATTGAAAGATTAGGCCTAGAATTACATTTAGTCTAAAGGGAATATAATCAAATCAAGTTTATTTATATAGCACATTTAATACAAGCGGAGTAGACCAAAGTGCTTTACAATTTAAAGAGATCTGTAAAAAAGGCACATAACATCAAGAAAATGACAACTATATATAAATGTAAGGCAATAACAATATGTGCACAAATGTAATGCTAATGTTCTTGTAATATAGACATTCATCACTACAATACTTATATTGTAATTGTACTGATGATGATGGTGATGTAACATCATTTACAATATGGGATTATAGAGGAAACGTCTGACTATTTACGGTAAATGTTTGAAAAAGAAAATGTGAGTAGATTGTAAACCATATTTGTTCTGTTTCTTTTAACAAAGGTACTTGAGCCAAATCCACAAAAATGTACATGTGTTCCTGTTGCTTCCCTTCACCATGCCAGACAGCAGTAAGATACCTGCCAACAATACAACCCATGGATGGAATGTAAATAAGTATTTTCTTTTTATTACAACACTTGTCATTCAACCTTTGTACCTGTATTCCATAAAAAGGCAAAACTGCACTTTTCAGACCAGCAAGGTGGAGAAATCTGCCCAGCCACAGCCTCCTAAGCATGTGCTTTTACAGCTGTACCCCGACTGTCGCATCACAGTTGAGTCATTAAGGTCCACATTCAAATTATAGCCCATGTTCTTGAGTATAGACTAACTTCAATGCAGACCACATGAAATCTACTCTGATGTGATATTTGGGGTGGAAAGGGCTGTCTTTACTAATTGCAGGTTGTGCCATGAATTATGTTAGATTTCTAATGTAATTTTTTTAGTAGATCTAAATGGATGACTTTTTATTCTTTGTGATGTAGGCACAACTAACCAAGGCCATGCGCTTCAGTTGCTGCGTGGAGGTTTACCAGCCTTGGTACAACCAGTCTTTAGTGGGAGTTGCTGCTCAATGCCTCAAAGCCAGTCCCTACAAAAGTGAGTCAAACCACCAAAGTAAGTTCATTGTTACTGCTTTTTAATTGCAGTTCAAGGCTGCAGATAGACACATTTTTCCTTTTCTTTTTACTTAGTGGAGAAAGAAGGTTCAGAGGCCAGCCTGCCTGTGGCTATGGCAGGAATCCATCAATCTGCATGTCAGTATGCTTCTGTCCTTCTAAGAGCTCAGCCTTTCAGCCCTCAGACTTACGTGGAGTTCATTGCCCTCTTTGATTACCTCTACAACCATCTGCACAAGCAAAGGCAGAGCCAAGCTAACAGGTATTTTTTCTTAAACCAGTAGGTGGGTAGAATCTTTTTTTCTTTTTCTCTGTGACTCCATGTATTTAATGTGCTGCTGTCCACAAACCAATACATTTGTGAATATACTACCGTGAGCAAGCTTCATATGATGTGACCCTAAATTGTACTTACAAAGAACAAAAAATAAAAGGTACACTGACAATGTTAATTTAATCCAGTGAGACAGCTGCTACGAGAATTAAGCATACTTATCTTCACAAAGGTAGAATTTGTTGCAGAGCTATTTAATTAATTGCAGTAAACTGTATAGGTCTAAATTATTTTTTTCTTGACTCCCTATTATGTTTTCTTTTTAAACAAAACAGAAATACTCATGCTGCTCTACAGTAACTATTGTATTTTTTCAGAGTTGCCACTCTTCTGTCTAATTTGGATGTCATGAACAACACAGCTGAGAAGTATAAACAGCACTTAATAAGACTGCAAAAGAAGGTTGCTGAGACACAGCAGGTAATGTAGAGCAATTCAGCACATGCAGTTCAAGTGGGATCAATATTCTGTATAAGGTTGCAGCAGTATTGACTTCCACATTTTCTATTCCACAAGAGGTTATTTTTCACCATAGTCAAAAATGATTTAAACAACCCTGTCAGCAATATATCCAGGACACTTAAGAGGCTTATGGAGGCTTAAGAACACCAGATGCACCAGGGAAAATATTGTTTATTAATTTCAACCTGAGAAACTCTTAACAGTAATGTATATATATGTATATATATATATATCATCTATACTCTAAATCTTCATCTCCTGTCCATCCTGCAGTATGAGAAAAAGCTCCTCAGCACTGTAGATTACCAGAGAAGCGTGCTCGAGGAAGCCCAGGACGCGTGTGTAGTAGAGGAGAACAAGCTGTATCATCTGGAAGAGCAGATAAATAACGCTCAGAAAGAGGTAAACAGATTTCCTGTTTTATTAAAATCTGCATCCAGAGTCATGCAAATAATATTACATATACTCAGAAGAAGCCCAAAACATTTTTGAACAGATCACATTCACCATATACCTTAGGCTGTTTAGATATTGGGCAGTCAAATCCCTTAGAACAATTTAGAACATTTAATAGAAGTGTCATAGAAAATTAACTGTAAACTTTTTTATTCCAGGCGAAACCTGTGTACCTGTCAGCCCTGAAGATTATTAATTGTCTGAATCCATCTGACCTAGAGGAGGTGCGCCATTACAGAGATCCACCTGATGGAGTGGTGAAAATCATGGATGCCATTTGTTTGCTGTTTAATTGTCCCACAGGTTGGGAGAGTGCTAAACAACTTCTTGGACAACCCAACTTTTTCCAGGTTTGTGTTATATTGAAAAATACCTCTTTTAATAATAAAAACAGTATAGTGGTGTCCTACAAATGTTTATGGTCAGCATTGGTTTAGTAATGGGATACAGCGGCATAAGAGGCTGTTTCTTTCTTTCTAATATCTCCCCAGGAGTTGGAATTTTTTGATCGCTACGCTCTGACAAATGAACAACTACAGAAGCTCGGTCAGATAGTTCACAGTCCCCATTTTGTGCCAGAGTCTGTGCGAGAGGTGAGCAAGGCCTGTGAGTCCCTGTGTCGATGGGTCCAGGCTGTGTATGAGTGCTGCTGTGTGCAACATCAACTGTGGGTCAAACAGCAATTGGAGGAGCTGGCCAAAGAGGCAAGAGGTCAGCTACACCTGGTCAAGCAACACAAGGAGGATGCATACCATCATCTAGAGGATGTCAAGCTTCAGCTGCAGTTGGTACAAAAAGAACTGGAGGAGCAACTGCTGGGGCTGCACATAGCTGAAAGCTCAGAAAAAGATACTACTACAGCTACAGGACAGTTGGAGACACATGTCAGAGACTGGAGGGCTGCTGCTCAGGTAACAGAATCTGCAAATATACTGCATGTCACCTAAACATGCCACTTCATTTTGTGCTTTGGTGTAATTTCTTAATATTCTTCATCTAAACAATTAGGATTTTCTCTATTTTTTTGTTTTACTTCAGGTGGCAGAATTAAATAACCAGACTTTACCTGGAGATGCCCTTATCCTGGCTGCAATCATCTCTTATTTAGGCCCCTTTGGACCTGATACGCGCACAGAGCTGCTGAGCAAGTGGAGGGAGCTATGTCAAACAGGAAGCATCAACATAAACCCCAAAGACCCCAGAACTTCCCTCTTTACACACACTGCACCTTCATACCCCCTTCCTGGTTTTCCAATCCTTGTGTCTGAGAGGCTGCAGTTGCCTCTGGGTCAGGTGTTAGGTACTTTCCGGCATGCTCCATTTGCAAGAATGGTTGTAAAGCTGCTGCTGTGGGGCTGCAGGAATGCCTGGGTTCACCACTGGCCTCTACTGGCCAACATCCAGCAACATCTAGATATAAGCTCTCAAAACTGGCTCATCACAGGTAGGTTCTTTTAAAAAAAACATCTCTGCTGACACCCTAGGCTTGTTTTTATAATTACATCATATTCTGTAGAATTGGTGATTTAGGGCTACCACTAATCAATTCGCTTTTTAGTCAATTAAATCCCAGAAATAATAACTAATGCTTACTAACTGAAATAATTATTAATTCATTTTATTAAGCCAAAAGTTATAAAACTCCAAACTATGTATTTTGCTGTGATTTTATTACTTAAACAGCAACATTTTTAAACAGCATTAAAAGCAATACAACTTTGTACTTAGAAAATACATGTAGCAACTACAGAATATATAATAGTTTTTTAGCCTCTTTTATGTATAGAAAATCCCTACAAAGTCTATGTGAAAACTTTAACTGTAAACTGCATTCAAAGAAAGTACAATAAGGGTCTGCTCTGCAGGAGAGAAGGCTAAGCTTGAGGAGGAGACGGAGTGTGGAATGGTGGTATGTGCTGATGATCCAGAGCTGCTGGACAAGCTGGACCAGGCTGCGGAGAAAGGTGAATTAGAGGAAGTTACATAAATGCAAAATATTACAAAATAAATTCTCTGCAGATTTCTAAGTTCCAGGGTTAAAATCATTCAAACATTTTGTTTTTCAGGTTTGAGAGTCCTGGTAACTCACATGGAACGTGCCGTTCCCAGTCCACAGTTTCTGGCCAGATTGGCGCGCCCTGCTGGATGTTGCCTTCCAGGGTTAAAACATGTTCAGCCAACCCACCCTGAATTCTGCCTCTTCCTTAGTACCCATCTGCCTGTCCAACTGCTTAACAGTGGTAAGAAGAACTTGTAGAGTTAACACAGCTGTTCTGTTAAAGTCGCTTACTTGACATTGCAACCGAAGTGCAGGATTTTCATATTCATTCATTATCCCAGTACGATAAATGTGTAGCAGTTTGTCTTGGTGATTGGCTTAAATTATAACTAATACAGGAGCACACTGATAACTTTTCACAGATCATAATGGTACTCAATATTAAGACAGCACAGTGTTCTTTACTGTTTATAGTATATATATATACTCTGTGCATAAAGAGTTAGGTCCTAACATGGGATATCTAAAAACAGAAAGTAATGAAAGGGACACATTTTGGAAATTAGCTCTTCTAACTCATCTGAAAGCAGTGGCTTACTAGGTATTCTTGCTTTTGTTCCTTAGAGATCCATCCATCCATTTTGGCTGAGGTACAAGTGGTTGACCTCTCTCTGAGCTCAGAAGAGATTCAGCAGCTGATGCTGACACAGCTGCTGCAGTCTGAATGTAAAAATCTGCTGATTCAACACTTGCGGCTGCAGAATGACAAGCAGTTGCTGCAGGAGAAACTGGTCACAGAAGAGGTGACGGGACCACCATTTACCGTCATATCAAGCAAATACTCTCTCTGTTGGTACAGTGTGCTTCGAAGAGTGTTTGAAAACTGCAACTGTAATACAACCTGATTTCTGCCTGACATCAGAGTTTGTTTGTCTCACAGTTGATTAGATGACAGCACCACTTGCTCTCATTAGTCTTTGTTTCCATGGCAGCGGTCACTGTCCGCTTTTTATTTGATCTCTAAAATACCTTTTATTATTTAAATATTGTTGACAGGGTTCATGAGTTTTGTAAGGAGGTAAACCATGTCATCATCTACATTCTGTCTGCAGTTTGCCTATTGATCAGATCTGTCAGGGTCACTGATTATCATTTAATCAGTTTCCAGAATTGAATATTATATATATATATTATAATGTAGGTTGTGCCCATGAGCTGTAGTCTGGCTGTGCATGTCCACATTATCTGCATTAGACTGTGGACTATGTAAACCTTATTACGTTGGCTGCAGTTGGAATGGAGACATGGGCTGCAGTTGGAATGGAGACAATGTGGACTGGCTTTTTACCCTCAAATCAAACTAAAGCTTGATCTGCTGTTGTCTGCTGTTGTTTGTCGCTGCATCATCAGTTGACTTCACACAATCTTGTTTCAGGAGGCTGTGATGGATTACATCCTGCAGTCTAACACCCCACTGCTGCAGGACACTGATTTTCTACCCCATGTGGCTGTTTGTCAAGAAACAATGAATAAAGTGCAGGTTGAGATCCAGCTGCTGAGTGAAGAACTGGAGTACCACGAGTCCCTGCTGGCTGCACCCCGACAATTAATGAGGCTGGCTGCTTCCCTCTACCAGGCTCTGCAGGACGTGTCCCGTCTTTCCCCTGCCTACTACTTTTCTCTACATGGCTTCATCCAAATTATGCAAGAGGCCTTCATTGTGAAGGGCAGACCATTACTGTCATATACCATTGGGAAAGTGCCACAGGGCATAATACAAGAGGTGAGAAACCGGATGGTGGCCCAGCTGCTGGTCCAGTACAGGCCTTGTCTCATTAGAAGCCATGTCTCTGTTCTGAAGCTGCTGGTGTCTGTGGCTCTGCTCCAACACAACCAGCTCTGCTCTGAGGCTGAGAGGGTGGCTTTTCTCAGAGGCCTTCAAGACATAGATCATCCTGCCGCCAAAGTTACTCTATCACAGTCCACTAGAGATCTGCCCAGCTGGATACCCCCTCATATCCACCCAGAGCTCCTCTGCCTGGAGAAGATCCCGGTCTTCAATGGACTGATTGCCTCTCTCTCCACTTGCTCCATGCAGTGGCAGGAGTACCTGCACCTCCCTTCCACCACTGTAGCAGGGGCGGTTCCTTGTTGCTCTCACTCCCATCTATCCCTGCTACAGCGGGCTCTCCTCTGGAAGACCATCCTCCCGGACTGCTTAGAGGGAATGGCTGAAGCTATGGCTGCCTACCACCTCTATCTTCCTGGACAGACAGCAGGGACTGAGGGCCCTCATGCTGGGAACCCAGAAGCCCTCTCACAATATCTTGTCAAACACAAAGGACCCATCATCCTTTCATTGCCCGGTCCAAGAGGAGATAATTGGACAAGCATTCAGCCTCTTCAGTTAATAAGAAAATTGGCTCACTGTGAAGCAGAAACAAAAGAGGTAACACACACTGTTTCATTTTGTTTCAAGTTAGTAGATATAATGAATGTACATCAATGCCGTGATTGGTGTTTTTCTTCATGAATACATTTTAGGTTCAGGTGAAAGTCATTTCTTTTGGGGCTCAGTGTGACAGAGAGGCAATTCTCTCAGTGCTGGATGAAGCCGTTAATGATGGCCGCTGGTTGGTTTTTAACAACTGCCACTTGTTGGAACAATGGGATGATAAAGTAGTGGCTCACCTCAGTCGATTGATGTCCTCTATAAGAGGTAGGAGGTCTATCAGAAATCCATTTCATTTGCATTTGTATCATTCATCGTCATTTACAAATGCTTACAACCCAATCTTTCTGTTTATGTATCTGCTTACTTGCCTGCCTACCTACCTACTGCACAGAGGAGCCATGCCTGCTTCACCCATGCTCCCGATTGTGGTTTATAACTCAAGAATATGCATCATGCTCCATACCAGGTAGATATTAAATTGCCATTACTGCTTTATCCAAGTCTCCCTTTTCAGGTCAGTCACCATGGCTGTAGTCCAAGAAAAGAACCAGTCTTTCTTTTTCACTATCACCACCATCTGGTACTAAGTCATAAATATTCTTAATATAGTGTCTAATTATGACCTTCCACAAACAATGCTCATAGTACATTGGTGAACAAGTAGAGCATAAAGTAAATATAATAAAGTAACCAGTTGAGAAGGAATTAACTAAGATTGCTCTTAAGTTATCTAATTTATTGCCTCAAGTAAAACATTGACCACTATTTGTGTTACTCAGGTTGTAATGATTATGATTTATCATTAAACAGCGGCAGTGCGAATGTGTGCCTTGCCTCTGGTCTGTGACTCTCCCTGGGATCTGAAGGAGGAGCTGAGCTGTTCCCTGCGACAGGTGGCGTCCTTCATACAGTGTCAATCACTGCCGGGTGTCACAGCAGACAACATGGAGCTCCTCCGCCGCTGTGCAATCTTCCACTCTGTGTTACTGCAGAGACAGACCTATAAGTACTTAGGCCAAGGGATAATCTACAATTGGTAAGAAAATGAATATATGGCAGAGGTGTTATGTATATTTGCCTGCCATATTCATAGCCATAGAGTGCAACCAACAATGACCTGAATTAATGTCTCAGTATTTTTTAAAACCAAGGTACATTCTACAAATATGTCATATTGGATTAAGAGTTTATGCTTGTGCATGATGGTTGTTTTTGTTTCCAAGGAGTCAGGAAGACCTCCTGGCTTTGATGGATGCACAGATTTGTATCGCTAGTCTCTGCCATAACAACACAAAGGCTTTGCAGTATATAGCAGGTGAGGCAACATTAACAGATAAAACTGTCACTCTAGTCCAGTTACTCTACACTCTGACCTTGTTGTACTTTTCATTCATAGTCAATCTAGTGCATGGCGCTCATGTACTAGACTCTGCAGATTTGGAGGTGGTGGAGAGCGTTGCTAAGACCTACCTCAGCCGATTGTCACCTGTCTGGGGCAGTGGACCCCAAATCCTCTCAAATATTATCAACAATCCTGGGCACTTTGGTAACCATACAACATTCTGCTAGTAAAGTACTTTGCATAGTATACTGTATATCCTACAAGCTAATTACAACAGTAAATTAGAGGAAATGGATCAGCAAAGATTTTTTACCTTTTAAATATTTAGCTGACGCCTTTATGTCGAGTAAGTTACATGATTGCATGAACTTCTAAATCAACATTACAAACACCAACTAGCTGTTTCTGTTTGTCAACCATTCTGTGCAAGCACAATCTATTGATTGCCGCTTTGTATCATGTCTTCAGATTTGTCAGGACTACTGCAGATTTTGGAGCAGGGTCTTCAGGATTCAGCAAACATCAATGACCCCCGTGTGCTGGGCTTCAGTGGAGATGTGGAAGCAGAGATAATCAAAATCAATAGCCACAATTTGAACGTATTACTGCAGGCCTCCCAGACTCCTCTAGGAACAGCGAGGAGTTTGTGCACCCAGCTAAAGCAGCCCTCCACACTGCCAGCCTACAGCCATGCAAAAGACAGACTGCAGACGCTGAAGAATTACCTTACACAAAAGAATGACAGCGCAGATACCAATGCAGGGGCTGTTTCTCACAGTCCCCTACGTGACTTCCTCCAGGCTGAGTGGGATGATGTCATTGATTTAGTGTCCTCGCTCCTCTCACAGCTCCAACATCCCCGTCAATACAGCAAGTCGACCTTTGCTTCCCTCCTCAAGCTCAATGACTTGCCTCACTTGGAGAGGAGGGCAGAGTTGCTCAGTGCTTATCTCTGGCACCACAACACTTCAGATCCACCTGGTGCCTACCGACTATCTGCTTTCAAAAATGCTAGAGGCTTCCTGGCAGCAGTGATGAGAGAGGCTGCTCAAGTCAATCGCAAAAATATCAGTGATATAGCCCTGCATTTTCAGGTAAAGGGTACAAAGAATGAAATCACCATAAAATGGCCATTTGGTTATGATACCAAATACCCAATAATAATAATAATTATTATTAATAATAATTTCCTATTGTACCTAACAATGTGCAGGTGTTCATGATGATTACTTGTTCTCTTCCTTCCAGGTTCTGAGTGATAGCACATACCTAACCACACTTCTCATTGACGCTGTGTATTTGTGTGGCCTGGAGCTGAGAGGGGCATCATGGGATATGCAGCTAGGAGCCCTAGAGGACACAGTCTTTCCGCAGCCATGTTCCATGCCCCTTGTTTGTGTCAAGGCTGTAGACAGGAGCACAAATACTACCCAAGATACCTTCCCTTGTAAAAGCTCACATTTAAAGGACACCAGCAATATCCAGGTCACCCATGCCCCACAGTTACCACTCTATCACTGCCCACTCTATCCCGATGGAGAGCGGGAGTGTGGAAACTGGGGACTGGCAGATGTTAACATTATCACTACATTTCCCCTACATGCCAAGCTAAATCCTTTGTTGTGTAGTTTGAGAAGGGTGAGGCTAGTGAGTATGCTCTGACTAAACCAACCGGGTTTCACCTGCTGGGATGCAAAAGACTACTGTTCAAATGCAATGCAGTTAGACACTTTTACTTAATTAATAATTCTGGATTGATAAAAGAGTCTTGTAAATGTATTTCTCATAAGACTACTGTTTACGTGATGACTTTCTATTGCTCTGTAATGTCTCTTTATACTTAATGTTTTGTGATGTTTTGAATTTTTGATTTTCATTAAAATCTTTATATGTCATAATGGCAATTTATAGCATTTTGTATGGTCCACCTGGCATCACTGTTGGGTGTGGTCTTGTGCACCCGTAACCACAGCCAACTGTGATGTCATGATATACTGACACACTGTGTCATACACTTCTATATCAGCTGGTTTGCAGCTGGTCTTGTGTTTGGTTTCAAGTTCTTTTAAAAGCTGTTAAAATGTTTATGTATATCTAAGATCTATCTATCTTGCACTGTGTCACAGGATATTTGCTCCTGCAGAGGTGTTGTGAACTTTATTGACAACTGTACGAACTTTACTTTTTCTCCTCTAGGTAACATGGACCGTCACCATTATGAAACCTTTGAGAAGTTTGGCAATAATACTTTCCTACTCCACCTTGACAACGGGAGGGCGTGAGTATTGCTGGTGTGTTAGTGTGTGTCTCTATGTTAATATAGTTTTTCTTAGTAGTTCCTGAATTGTGAAATTAAATCGTAATATGTCTTGACTGACCCTGGGTCTGTTCTGACTGCAGATTTGGGCGTCACTCCAAAGATGAGCCTTCTATCTTGGCTCCTCTACAACAGTGCTGCAGGTACCAATGGTGAAATCGTTTTATAATTGACCATGTGTACTTTTTGCCTCAACCATGTTGTCAGGAAAATCAATATTACCTTAATATCACAAAACACAGTCATGTAGAACAGTCGCAAAAGAGGGGGTTCTTTGGCTTCAAAAAGCGTTAACAGTCATCTTCCCTATTTCCTCTACTCTCCATTATTTCTTCCTCCCTAATCACTCCATCCTGTTCCTCTTTCTCTGCAACACTTCTGCCATTTTGCTCTTTCTCTAGAATCCGGCGCTCCACCTGGCTACGCCTGCGTCTACTGTCTCTGCCGCAGTATCGTCTTAGTGATGTCATGAGGGCCTCGCTCTCACATGATACCCTTCACAGGGTCGCTCCACTGCTGTCGGAGCCCCACCTCGCAGCTCTTGATCGGCGCTTAAAAACTGTGCTGGAGACTGTCAGTCGTTGCCAGGAAAGACCAAGTAAAGATGGTGGTGAAGGTGAGGTCATCTATGATGACACTGCCTACTTGAAAGACATGGTCACACCTGCTGGGTAGGAGAAGTGATATAATATATATATATATATATATATATATATATATATCACAGATATAATGTCATAGTTACAAGGACTTGTAACTAATGGTGTCTTTACAGTAAAACAGGTTGTGTAAACTAACAAAAAATCTGATAGACTATTAAAAAATGTTTAAAGGTTAAGAATCCTTTAAAAGGTTTATAAGCATTATTATTATTAGTAGATGGTGTATTTAAAAGTGATGACAACAAAATTGCTCCGTTACTCTGTTTAGTATTTTTTTGCATTCTGTGACAATAATAATTTTCCCAAAAACAGAATATTTAAGCATATTATTTAGTAGATTTTTGTTCTAATGCCAATGACAGTATGTACAGTGTAAAACATTACTTGTCCTTGTTTGCTTGATCTTTTTTTCCCGGTCTGTATTTCCCAATTATTTTTTTAATTAGTTTGAAAGATCCCCTCTAGACATGTACTACGGCATATATACAAATAGTCTGCTCGGTGATGTGACAATGATGTGTGTCTGAAAAAATATCATTTTCACATTAAAATCCTACATCTATACCTTCTACCTCATTATAAATACCAGAATCTATAAATATACAAATGTGGTTCATATCTAATAATACGTTTTACTGCTGGACACAAGATGTCTCCTTGTAAATTCTCATATTAGAATATGTTATGTTGTAAGTTTCCACATCAAGCTTGTATAAGTTGCACACCGGACCAGGGATGACTTCCAAAATATTTGTGATGTCACAAAACATACTTGTAGGCCCTGCAGCTTAACATCAGATTTTCTGTGACCACAGAGAAACTTTCAGTAGATGAATGTGAAAACATCCTTCTGTAAAACTCTGCAGTGAAGCTCAAACCTCCAACTCTAGGAAGAAAAACTTATTTTTGAGTGGAGGGGGACTTTAAATAACTTATTGACACTGACCATGGGAAGTGTGAAGTTGTGATTAATTCATCACAACAAATTCCCAAAAGAAGAAGGAGATGACTCATAAAAACAAACTGGCTGATAAATGCAAATTCAGAAGATGTTTTCCTTGCTTTTCATCGTGTCAGTGTGGTTTGTTGACACTAAAATACAACCTTGAACTTGATTTATACATTTAAAGGCGTCATATTCTGGCAACATCGTTGTTATTTAAATAATCCCAATTATCTTTTAGGATTTCTGCTACATAACAGACAATAAAACCAGCTTCAGGTGGAGCAGACGTGATTAAACTGCATTATCAAGCACAGACCACACAGAAGCACTCTCTAAATTCTGAATTGCACCTTCTGATTCTTTAATGTACATTTCAAGACCTGTCTTCAACTCACCCCACCTCTGTGTGACTGACAACTAGAGTTGATCTGGATTCAACATGTTGGTCTGTTGACGGGCAGAGAGGGTGATCCTTATATTATTTTCATGTGCTGGGTGTGTGAAAGGTGAACACTATATAGTTCATAGATATTTGATATGTGAGTCTTATGAAGCAGGTGTGTGATTGACTTTGAGCTATTTCTTCATCTTGTTTGAAGCATTCAGGAGCAAATGTTCCAAATAGTGTGCGGAGTAATGTATTTGTATCTAATTGTATTTGTACCTTTTTAAGGCAGTAGTTTGCTTGACCAAAGTCGAGGTCCTCCCTTAGGTGTGAGTCTACGTCACAGATAGTTGGGCAGCTGCTTGTCCTCCTTCTCCTTTCCTTTCAGGGCTTCAATCAATAATTTACCTGCCCCGGTCATATCGATGGCACCTACTCCCTTTTCTCTTCCCCTCACTCGCTTGCTCGTTCTTTCCACGAAAACTGTTGATGACAAGGGGGTAAAAGAGCTCATTAACAAATGACAGAAGAAGGGAGAGAGGGAGGAAAGCACTACCATTCTAACAGACAGGTGTTATCGGTCTTTGGAACAACAGGAACAGAGGAACAGTAGTGAAGGTGACTTTCACTGGCTTAAGCCGCTGATACACAAAGGACAAGAATCGCCTGAAGAAACTTCTTCAGAAGTTTGAATGGGAATACAGACTCTTTACCGAAGTTTGTTCTGTCTCTGACGTTCACCTTTTGAGCCTTTGTGTTTGTCTGAAGTTCATATTGTCTTTCAAATTGGTCACTATGTCGGGAGCCACCAGTGACCAGCTGCACAGATCAACTTTATCAGTCTATTTGGTGAGTCTTCTTGTTCTCTATGTTCAGTTTCTGTGTGGACACATGGGTTCTAATGTAGTATTTTAAATGTGAGGGACAACTATGATGTATTTTTAATAATCACCTGGCTGGAGTAACTTGAGTTGAGTATCCATCAGATTCCATATTCCAGTGTTATTTTGTGATAGCTGAAGTAACAACTGTTTCTTTTGGTGTGTTGGTTTGCATGTATTTCTCTTTGTGTGTGCGTTACTGCAGAATCTGATGGAGCACTTCAATCCTGGCCTCCAGAAGCTTGTTGCTCTAGGAAACAGCTATGTCAAAGCTTTCCAAGGTGAGTTAGTTTGTGATTGACTGTAGGGTATATGTGTGCATGTCTGTGTGCATGAATGTGTGTCTAATAGTTATGTGAATTATTTTAATTTACAATTTAAATGTTTAATTGTCAATTTCCGCACATAAATATGTTGTATTAAAGAATGGTGTCTTGAAATCCCATGTGGGATAAGCCATAAATGAAAACTAACTACCCACAATGTGTAAAATATAATACACAATCAAGTGGTAATTAGAGGACCCAATGCTCTAGGTGATGTGACTGGATTGTGTTGTTTTAGTTGCTTTCATGATAGCAAAGATGATGGAAGAGAATTCATGATAATTGAGATGCAGACGAAGGATACAAGGGGACCTTAAATGGAAGGTCAAAAACCTACTGTAACAAAATCCACAAAGAAGTCACAAAAATGTTTCTGTACTTCTTTATCACTTTAAAAAAAAGTTTATTTAGTGTTTGTGAACAAGCAAACCTTTTTCCTGAAGCTCAAAGTCACTGGGCTTGTGTGCGGCGTTGGCTTTTAGAGTCATACAGTAAAGTGATACATTGAGTCGTGAGCCAAAAGTAAGTTTATATTTCAGTACAGATGAAGCAGAACTTAAACCGCAGAACACGAGGTACAGTATCGATGTTCAAACAGAATCTTTTCCGCATCCGACTGCCTGTCTGACCTCACTGATCTTTACTGTCTGCATTTATCCAATCTTTATCGTGTGTTACGTTGGTAATTGGGTGAGCAGCATCTATCATTAATGCACCTCTCTGCCTGATAAAACAAGAACAGCCCATCAGTCACAGGGCAACAAGGCAGCGTGGTAAAACTATACCCACTGGATGGGGCTATTCCTAGACCAAAATCACATATCAAATGTCAGGACTGCAAGGCTTGTGTATTTAATGAATAAAGGCAGAATTGATTGACCCAATTAGGAGTAGTTTGACAGGCTGTGGTGTCATTTAAAGCCTAGGAGTGTATAATGTTTCTGAGAAGCTTTTATTTTATTGTGCATTGTTGTGTGTGCTACAGCCTTAGCTGTTTGCAGTGAGGCCTACTTCAGTGCTGTGGCTAAGATGGGTGACCAGGCTCTTCACACGCTTTCATCTCGCTCTCTTGGTAAGTGTGCGTGTGCGTTTGTATGTGTGATTGATTACTCAGTCTTTCCATTACAGGTTTCACCCTTAATTTATTGCATTCATTACAGACACCAAAGTGTCGAGATGGCTAAGTGCTCTATCAAGTTAATGTCAAGCCCGATCATACTGACGCATCCCAGATTTTAAAATACCATGCACACTCAGTAACCTTAAAATTACATCCTTCCACTGCTCTTCCTCATCCTCTCATGTATACGTCTCTGTGTGTGCTCATGAATGTGTATTTGTGTGTGTGTACGTACCCAGTCTTCCGTGCATGCATGAGTGCATATTTTCCACAAGCTTCACTTTCACTCCGTCCCAGGGGACGTGTGATAGCATTATGCTAACACATCACCATTGAGAGTGAGTAGGCTCATACATTAGTGCTAGCACAGCATGACACACATGCTTCTGCTAGATTGGCTAACTGAGAAGGTCAGGGAGCCACAGCGTGACCAGGGGCCATATTGAGTGACAACCTCTAAATTATAGATGGGGACAGTCTTTCAGCTGCACTCAATTCATTAGCTCAACTACAGTCCATGACAATAGACAAGACCAGAGGCACGCATAATACAAAGGGCTTGGCTAACTTTCCACCATCATAGCAGTCCAGCAGGTTAGATCAAAAGAATCCCTAAATGACTTGAGTGGTGTTGAATTGTGTTAAATTCATATATCAAATTACTGACATTCCTTCAAATTATTGTACCTCTCTTTTTGTAATGGGCATAAATTCCCACAAGTAGTAATATGGTAGGTCTAAGTGTCACCAGATCTTTTGAATTCTAGAGATTTCACTTGAAATGGCTATTTAATATAATAATATACTGTATAACACATCCAAATATAACAATATAATATGTAACATTTAGAAACAGTTCAGATCTCCTAAAGCATCATAGATGTTTTTGATATTTTAAATTGTGGCAGCAGGTTCTTCATGTGTAAGCTGATCTGGTCCGGTGTTAGTCACTTAAGTCACTGATTGACCCAAGTCTTGTTTTAAACAGGGGATGTCCTGATCCAAATATCAGAAACACAGAGGAGACTCACAGCAGAGATGGAGGGAGTGGTCAGTATAAGATTCAACAGTCTGGTTACATTTTAGAATTTAAGCGTCTTGAACAGTTTTATGTCTAAAATGTTTTCATTTGTTTGTAATTATACATGGTGGGGATCAGATTATATTTGAATAAATATTAAACATGTAGCAATGTCATACAGCACACATTGTTGTGCTGATTATGCTAAACTGTACAACGATGGAATTAAACATGTAATTAAAAAGAATACAGACGGAAATACCCTTGGTAGCATTTCACCCAGAGATTATTTCAATTCTCTCATCTAACTCTAAATAAAGACAGCGAAATAACATATTCCCAAAATGTTTGAATCTGTTGTTAATTAAGAAATTTGTGAAGGATGCTGAGAGACTCATTTTTGACTCGTTACAAACAGGTGGACTAAAGCTGAGCTTTACAGAAGTCTTTTGGGAGATGTGTTCCTGCTTGCATTTCAATGCTTGTTTAAAATTCGAAGTACCACTCGAACCCTTGCACTTGATTTCAGCGGCTTTCAGTGATGTGAATAAGCAAAACGTGGCCTCTGATTAAAAAGTTGGCCTGGAGCACATTTGCATATAGATGTAGTCAAACAAAACAACCTGATATTGAAAAATACTGTTTGAACAAGGGGACAGTTTCCATAATGACTTGGTTACACCACAGGGACATTGTTTTTCTCTCTGCTACAGTTTCGATGGTTCCAGATAGAGGTGTTGCAAGCCATGGAGAAGAATGTCAAGTTGGATGAGGAGTACATTGATGTGAGTTTACAGAGGGGAGAAGCATCTGTTATTCCTTCTGGGGACTGGGTTGAGTTGATTAAAATGTTGGGGAACTTAATGGGCTATTTAGGTTAGGAGTATGGTTTATGGTACCAGGCAGATATTGTGTTATGTATGTTGTTTTATGTATTATATGTACTCAGTGGAAGGTCTGCATAAATTTACTATTACAATTGTATGTATATTCTTCATTCTCTAAATAAAAATATTTAAAGTTAATGATTTAATAGAAAGAGAATATCAGTAAGATATTCATGAGTACATTTTGCAAATACATGTTTAGTGGTATTACTAAATTTTAATACTATGGCTTATTATATTTTGTGGCTCAACATATGAAGCTACTGATGTGTATTTACCTGTTGTTGTGGACAGCTTTGCAAGAATGACTCTCATATATCTGGTCATTTTAGCATTCAGTCCACATCTGCAGAATAGTCACAATACCAGACATTGATTTAGATACAGAACCACCTATAATCCAAATAATGCAAATCTGCTCATTTGAAACTTTCTGAGCAGGTCCAATTCCCATCTGAGTCTGAATTCTTCAGTATGGGGAAGCCAGTGCAGACAAGATTAAGTTGGGAAGTGTTGATGAAGTGATATGTCTGTAGAAAATGTGTGCATGTAAACAAATTCAGGACAAGTTTTCATCATCACATCAGAGCTTCTTAAATCAAACTTATTTCCTGTGCTGCAGGGTAGTCGCAGAGTGTATGAGCTGGAAGTGAGGAACCAGGCAGAGGTTTTGGAGAAGCAGCTCAGACGAGGAGCCTACAGAGACTCTCTGGTAGTTACACACATAAACACTACGCAGGTTCACACACTCACTTCTCACACATAGTCCAGTAGCAAGAATTGTACCTGAACCTGAACCTGTACCACTGTATATGTGCCATTTCTTATATGTGTATGTGTGAATGCTTCGGTGTGTGTGTGTGTGTGTGTGTGTGTGTGTGTGTGTGTGTGTGTGTGTGTGTGTGTGTGTTTTAGGAGAACAGTGAGTACATGCTGTACCTGAGGCAGAGTCAGCAAGAGATCCTGAAGGAGGAGGAGAGGAGGTATCGCTTCTTGGCAGAGAAACACTGTGGCCTCACTCAGTCACTGCTCTTCCTTATAAACAAGGTATACACACACACACACACACACACACACACACACACACCAGCATGGGTTAGCTAAAGCAACCTGCCTCCTCCTGTGGCATGTCTTAAAAATGAAATGAGCAGCTTAGTGAGCTCGCTTTGGGTCTAACCAAGGCTTTTTGGTCTTTTGAAGCTGGTTCAGTTTAAAATGGTTACCTGTGTTGCAAGGCTAATATGCACCAGAGGAGGCTAAGTTTAGGCCAATTGATCAAAAAGTAAGCAGACATTTACTTACTGCAAACTAATGAGCAAAATTTAAATAAAAAATGCACTACAAATGTCTGCCCTTTGGTTAATACACATTCCCTGTAGTATAGATTAGAATAAAATGAGAATTCATCTCAGATACAGGTGTTGGAAAGTATTACTCTGTCAATTAGAAATAATGGTATTACAAATTTAACTTCCTTTTCCGGATATGCATACTGTGAATAAACAGTAATTTTTTATAACAGTTAAAGGTTGTCTTTATACCACCATGGCCCAAACATTCGACTGCACTGCATTTTTATTCCACCCATGTGATAGCACCTATCTGATTTAATTCACGTCTCAGTGTACATCATCTCATTTACTGAAACGTTTCTGTTAATTTTGTTGCTGCCTGATCAGGTTGAGATTTAATGAGGTGCTCACCTCTCTCATCTGTTTTCAGACTGGTGCGTCTTTCCAGCAAAAGGCAGATGGATGGAAGGAGAAAGTGAATGACACCAGAGGGTCCAGACCTCGAACTCCCACCCATTTGGACCAAGAGGCACAGGTACCAACTTGTTACGCTGTTTAGTCTATTATTTCGACCCAATGTGAACATTATACTCAGTCAAATAGTGTTTTAAGAACCAGAAAACCTGTAGAGAAGCTGTACTTGCGTGGGATGCTGCACCAGTGTCTGTATATACCCTCAGTGACATGATGTATGGAAAACTGCCCACCCTGTGCTGTGTTGAAATGACCATAAATAATTATGATTTACTGTGAAAAAGTTTAAACATATAATATACATTTTTACTGGGATTTACATGTGAAGTACACCAGTATTTTAGCATGACGTCATTATATAGACTGACTTTCTCTCAGCAGCCCCAACTCTGACTGACTTCCATCGTTAAACCTTACTAGATTTTTATTTTAAAAATAAATTGACAGGACGCAGCAGTTCATTTACCTGTGTATATTGTTTCTGACCAGCTGCGAGGCTCAGTGAGCTCCCTGCTGCAGACAGTAGCCAGAGATGAAGACATGTCTTGGGCCAGGAGGGAGCAGCAGGCACTGGGCAGAGTGCCCTCTAGAGGTAGGAGGAGGACTGTACTTTGTGAAGGCTATGATTGTTGTAAATTGATGTGACTGTATTTTGACAACCCTTGAAGCAAAACAAGATCAGCAGTATTTGCCTCTGCAGCATAAGCTCTGAACATCGGCAGTGTAAATGACCATACGCTTTACACTTTCTGTTCTTCCTCCACTTGCCCACTCCAGCGCCGTCTCCCCTCCCCAGCCGCTCTCGCTCCAGCTCAGTCGGTGAATCTCTGGGTCTGGGTGGTGGGAGAGCCATGAGAGCCCTGGTGTCTCACCCGTCCTCATCCAACCCAAAGCTTCTACCTTTCAACAGGGGAGAGACTGTCACAGTACTGGTCCAGGAACCGCGCAACGGCTGGCTGTATGGACGCACTGACAGCAGCATGCGGTGGGTAGCTGAGATAGAAGGCATATTATGCATGCAGGTGCAGGAGCCATAGGTTAATGCTTTCTAAGTGTTTTTACATAGGAATAAAATTATCTGTGAAATCCCATTGTCATAATTGAGCTAAAAGAAACAAAAATAACTAAATATTCTGTAACAGCTGACATTCGTAAACACTTTACACTTGTACATGTATTTCAAGTCTGAAAAATACAGTGTATATTGTCTGACAGAATGTTTTATAGTATATACTTCTTGTTCAAGGACAAGAAGATTTATGGAGTTTGAGTTGTTTTGTTAACTGTTTCTTTATGTCTAACTCTATTATCTCCTTTAGTCAGGGCTGGTTCCCTGCTGCTTATGTGGCCCCTGTTGAGGACTTCTCCAACACTTTAGCAACAAGGTAGGAATTACTGTCAGTCTGAGCAGCAGATTTCAGCAAACCCATTTTAGATGTTGGAAACAATCCATTTCTGTAGGGTGACAGATTACAGTTTGACCTAGAATTTAGAGAGATCCTCACCTGGAACTGGACTTACTCCCAGACAGTGGCCAGCATACAACCTGCTGAAGTGTCCTTGAGCAAGAGGCTGAATGCCTCACCTTTTTAGGACCTCTGTTCCTTGTTCTGTTCTTTTTTCAGATCATAAACTTTAGCCTGACACTGAACTCAAAGAAAAAAGATTGTAATGTCTAATATCTAATACCTAACACCTAAATGCATATTTAGATTGCTGAAAAATATAGGCTTGCGGAGCATACCCAGCCCAGAAGTGGGAAATTAGGCTTTATTTTTGTATTATCTGTTTATTACCAAAATATTCCAGGTCACTGCCCTGCTATGAATAACTAAAAGTTCCTACATATGCACCTTTGACCCCTCAGTGGTGGCTCTCTAAGACGCCACAGCATGAACAATCTGCTGGATCCCACTGACACCTACACTGACCAATCAGAGAGCAAGAACTATGGAGATGTCCCACCTCCAGCCACACCCAACCGCAGAGCCTCTGTAGACTTCCGGCCAATCTCTCCTCTCCCTGAGAAGAAGCTTGAGCCATCCGTGGAGACAAAGCCCGGTCAAACGAAAACCTACAACGAACAGCCACCCCCACCTCCTCCCCCCACCGCCGCCTCCTCCCCCGAATCAGAATCTTAGAAGGGGCTCTGCAGATTTTCGATCAATCTCTCCCCTCCCCGACAGGAAGGGCGAATCAGCATCTGATGTCCAGGTACTAGAGGTTTTTTTTCTTCTGTTCCATTTACACTAATCATACATCATTTGTTTTGATTGATCATATTGGCTTCTCTTTTCTTAGGCATTATCACCCCATGGACCACCTGAAAACCCACTGTTTCCCAGGTAATTTTTGGTGTGTATGAGCTCACAGAAAAGAAACATTTGTATTTCCTGAACTCTGGACCCTGATGAATTCCAGTACCCTTTAGATTTTATGTTTATAGTGCAGGTATATATATTTTGTAGATCTACATTCGTTTTGTGGTTGCATTTTTTACTCAATTTTCACTTCATTAACATTTTGTACTGCAGACTAAGGCTTAAATCCAGAAGAAAAAATATCATCAGTATCAAAAACAGACCTGGGCTGAACCTGAATTCCAGTCACAATTGTTTAAACCAATAATGGTCAAACCTCTTACTGGCGTCTGGTGTTAGTTTCCTAACCTGGAGTGTGTGCATGTGCGTATGTGGTTCATTTGTGTGGGAAGAAAGCAGTTGAGCGTGTGAGGCATTGTGTTACATTTTTTGTCATCCTCTTGTTTCAGAGGCACAAATCCATTCGCCACTGTAAAGCTTCGCCCCACGACGACCAATGACAGATCTGCTCCTCGGATGCTCTGATCCATCGGCACTCGTGCAGGCGGATTTTGTAACCAAGGTTGCCAGATCGGGTTGTGGGGGCAGGATATACATTTTTGTTTCAGGAGAATGTAATGACATCTCTGAAATGTGATGGCTTTTAGCCAGAAGGGAAGAGGAAGGTTTGGTGGGTTTTTTTTGTACAGTGTTAGATAAGGTGAAGTATTTATTGTACCAAAAGCAAAAGTGACACTAAAGCAAATCTCAATAATTTAATATCAAAACCATAAACTTTTAAAATAGTTGTTTTATCAACTCTTTGTACAGTATTTACGTTTTATATAGATAGATCTGTTTGTTTCTTGTAGTACAAATATTAAAGGAATAGTGACACATTTTGGGAACTATGCTTACTCACTTTGTTGCTGAGAATTAGATCAATACCACTCACTTCCAATCAGCCTGTAGCTAGTTAGCTTAGCAAAAAGACTGAAAACACAGGTAAACACCTAGCCTCGGTCGAGCCCAGAGGTAACAAAATCCACTTACCAGCACATTTTTTTGAAACAGCTAGTTTCTTGGTTCCAACCTTATTGATAAGCTCAGCTACCTGGGTGCTTTCTCCACTAACATATTTAGTGTACAGACACAAGAGTGGTATTGGTCCTCTCATCTAAATCTAAATAAGCAAGATGAATATAACTGCATTCCCAAAATGTTGTACTATTTCTTTAAGCTGATAGTAATATGCTTATTTTTTTGCTCAAGCTGTTATGTGTCTTGCTCTCATTCTATGCTAATTTTATAAGCAAACAGATGTGATTTAACAGAACATAAAATGAAATCCTTTCAAATCTGACTTGGGCCACATTTGATCCTAAATACACTACGATACATATTGGATCACTCACATGCCATTAAGGCCACGGATTCTCACCTAGTGATTGTACATTTGTAATCCTCTTCACCTCCTGTGACATGTTTTGCAATGTTCGGTGCGTTATGTTTTGTGAGTTTAATGTTTTGTGTCCGCTGTGAGTAACAATAAGTAAAGAGACAGTTATTACTCAAGTTTTTTTTTATTATCATTTCTTACTTAGATCATTTCTCTCTTCACAGCTCTCCTTATATATCATTTTATTTACTACATCATCAGATCGGAGGCAGGGAGTGAGGAGGAGGAGGAGGAGGAGATAGAGGAGAGGAGGTGAGGTGAAGGAAGGTGGATGAGGAAGAGGAGTGGGAGGAAAGTGCACTGATATGTGAACATCTAGAAGTAAAACCAATCAGACAAAATGCACAACCTGAAATACACAGAGAAAGGAAAAATAAGGTTTAAGAAGTCTTTATAACATCTACACCATCTACAGCACTAGAACCACCTGTTTTGAGACCACAAACTATCTTCATGAAATCATTAAGAATGATCCAGAAACCCATTCAGCATGTGTGATTAAATATATAAAAAATGAAAAATTAAACTGATGCCTGTATGTTCCTCCTCATGGTAACTCCCTGTTGGCCTGCTTCTGTAGTGTTGTGTAGAGAGCAGGCCTGGTCTGACTCCATGTGTGGGGTCCGGAGGAGGGTGAGAGGAGTTTGAAGGTGGCAGTTACAAAATATGAATGCAGGGACGAAGAGGAGGAGGAAGAAGAAGGGGGTGTTCAGCTATCTCCTACTCATGCACCAAGGTCTCAAACTCTGTAAAGGAAAAAGAAAAACATTTGCACAAATAATGAGACAAGCTCTACTGACCTATAGCTTAAAGGGTAACGATTGTCAAATCCAATGAAAAGACCAACAATGGATTGATTCTACTAACAAGTATTGTCTGTGGTCATATTCCTCTGTGCCATAGAGCTTCATTATTGCCTAAAAACGATTTAAAACTAATCAATATGTCACACACAATATGCACTGGGTGACAGAATCCACCACACACACAAAATAGTTCATTTTAAAGTCAATTCCACGTTCACCATCTTGCTGCCTTAAATACTAAAGTGCCAAATGTGTATTAATCTTTTGTCTAAAACTAGTCCTGAACAAATGCACTGATTACTGCAGTATGAAAACTACAGTGCCTTTTCTAAAGATTCATATTAAGCACAAACAAATATGCTTGAAGTTGAGAAATACAGTTGGTTTTGGTCTTTTCAGGGAATTTACAGATTATGCTAATTTATCATCTAAAACAAGAATAGGTGCATATATGTAGCCTAAATCTTAAATACTAAACATCCTGTGAACACCTAAACCAGACCAGAAGAGCTGATTTTGCCAACATGTTGGCAACTGGTCAATAAATATAATTTTTTTAAATCAAATAATTATTGGCACATTCATTTTCAAACATAAACAAATGTGCCAGCTTTTATTTTAAGGTTAACATTCGTCCCAGCTTCAGACTGTTGAAATTTCATGGTTTTAAATTGTCTTAGCTCTTTGGAGTCCGTATTGGCTGCTACCAAATGCTGTTTGTGTGAAAAATCCAACGGATAGCTCCTAAAATCCCGGTCGGATTTTTCACTGAGGCAGTGTGTGTACAGCTACAGTAAGCAATATTTAGCCTATATGACAACCTGTACACATCCCACCCTCTACTCTTCTTTAAAAAAGCTTTGTTATTCTTTACAGTGTTCCTCTGTTCTCTCACCATCAATGCCGATCTTGCCGTCTCCATCTTTGTCTGCGGCTGTGAGGAATGCTTTTGTCTCAGCGTCAGTCAGGTCTCTGCCCTCCTTGGAAAAGCCCTTCAGTACAAACCTGAGGAAAGTGCAGGGTGTTGCAGAGAAGGATCACTGTAGGACAGCGTTTATTAACACATGACAGTGTGTAGGACATAGAGCATAGAGCCCTTTTGTGGTTTTGTATCTGTGTGAGTTCCTCACTTGAGCTCTTCTTCCTCTATGAAGCCGCTACCGTCCACATCCAGAACCTGGAAGACCTTCTTGACGTTTTCAGCTGACATGGCCTTCATTCCAACCATTTCAAAGAACTTTTTAGGGTCGAATGTTTCTGCTACAAAAGGTAAGACAGAAGGTACAAACGGAACCATGAAAAACAACTCTACTAACAACTCTACTCTTCTGTTAGGCAGAAATGTTTTGGAAATTACGAAGCAGCTTAAAAGGCACAAAGAATTCTATCAGAGCTACATTAGTAGCACACATATAGAGCATGATAGAGTAGTTTACTACACACTTGTTTTAAAAGATAAAAATGTGATCCAAGGCTAACTTCTGTAACTTTTTAAGATTGTTTCTGCTGAAAATACTATGTCCAACCACTGTTACCTGCAAAGGCATCAAGAGCTTTCTTGATCTCCTCAGCTTTCAACAGATCTGTCATCGCCATTTCGTCAGCTGGAGAGAAGGATAGAGAGCAACAGACATAGAGGACATAAAAGGTACAAAGTGAGGAATGAAAGGAGAGTATTTCAAAGAGTTGAGTGCAGACAACAGCTGAAATGGAAGCACGAGAGTGCAAGATTTGGTACAAAAGCTAAAAGCCTAATTTAAACTGTTCACATTAACTCTGCATGTATCTGTGAATGTATTGGTTGTTAGTAAATGAACTAAAGGTCTGGCCTAGAGATATTTAGGGACAAGAAGATAGAAAATGAATATACTCTATATATACTGTTGGTTGGGATTGACACAAACATAAGCAAAGAGAATTTTAACCCTGGTTGACCTGGTAGAATTACATTTAGGCATTCAAAGGAAGCACTCAGTGATACTTGACACAACAGGAGATTATCCAAGGCCGTAGTTCAGAATATAAGACATGGGCATTAATACAGTCTGGCATACACTGAGGGGACACAAATACATACAGTGCAGCCGAGTATACACACACAACCAATTTATCTAACCATTCATTTTATATGCATACTGTACAGCACACACACACACACACACACACACACACACACACACACACACACACACACACACACAGGCTCACAAATAATTAGCTACATTCATGTTCTATATTCTTCTAAAACTCATCCCTATGCATCCCTCTATTGGACATATACAGCATCTTTATACATCAAAACACTTGTTACTGGTCTTTGCTTCCAGCTGGCTATACCTATGCCATAATAAACTTTGCAATGTTAAGACATGGAACATTAGAGAGAAGACCAACATGTAAAACAATAACATCACGTGCACATGGATGCCATCAAATGTACATGTAAAGCCAAACAAATTATAGCACTATGCAAACTGTGAGGCACTTAATGAGAATGTCAAATGCCTCATAAAATATCCAGTATCAAATTCCCTCAAATATGTTTGGATTCAAACATGGTCACAATATAAATACAAATTTTGACTGAGTATACAATTTTTAACACCTAGTTTAACTTGTGTCTCTGTAGATGTTTTCCTGATTTTATCCTATAAAGATTCTATTCCCTTTAATCCTGTTCCAAATTTGCCAACACTTACATGCATGTCAACATAGTATTGTAAGTATACTCCATGACAATTACACAGTGTATTACAAATAACACAAGATTTAAACCCCTAACCTTTCCAGTGTCTGTGTGCACAATGAAAAACTGGGCTATGTATGCAATATGAATGTAAAGCTGGACGTTGCTGAAAAAGTAAGGCAATGGATCTCCTAAGTCGAGTTTCTCAAAAGGTTAAACAAATGTGAATATGTCCCTCAGTTGTAGTACCCTGTAGATATCAATAGGTGTCAGTACTGAGCTGAAGGCTCTCAGGGTTCTTGTTTATATGTTTGGGGTGCTGGGAGCTGAAATGTTGAGCTGTCAAGACAGATGTTTGATTAATGTGTTCGTGCCTATAAGAGAACTGAGCTCCCTTGTGTATGTTGTCTTTGTGGGAGTGTGTGTGTCTGTGTATGTGTTTCTTATGACACATAGTGACTTGGTGAAGGTATGAGACTCAGAGAGCCCCAGTGGAGTAGTTTTGATATTTCCTCTGCAGGTTGCACTGTCTTGACCCCAAAAAATATTTACCCTCACTGACCAAAGGACAGAGAGAACTGAGATACATAGCCATCCTCTTCATTTCTACCACTTCTCAACTTTCTCTCCACCTGTTATGTGTCTAAATATTTTGGCAGCAAAAGCCAATTAGCAAGCTTCTATTTGTGGTTTTTGAGATGTCTTGAGATGGACAAACTTTTTTTTTTTTTTTTTTCCCATCAGTGAGATAATGTATTACAAATAGAAAAGCCTTGTTGTCTCAGGTTATCATCTTTTGGTATGTTTAAGTTTGGACCCTAATTTTATCTTCAATCCATCAACAACAAACCTTCACTGACGGTTCTGGTCTGTCAAGTTGATCTGCATCTTGATATCCTGTCAGTGATGTTAGCATAGAAGTAAAAACTCACAGACATCATGACATATGCATCCCATTCACAGGTTCTTTCACAATAGCTTTGACTTTGATGTGTGCAGATGATAGCTGTGGTAAAGAAAACTGTAATCAAAAGGTCAAAGCCTCTGTTTGAAACAAACGGGTCCTACGTGCCCTTGAGCCCTTCCCTTTTCCTCAGTAGCTTTAAATGAGAAAAACTGCAGACACAGTGACTGCTATCTGTCCAGTAGAGAACAAATATGACCACTGTTATGGATAAGTGAGGTTCTATTTTAGGGCCGTACCATGTCTGTTCATCCAATGACTTTTACTCGAGTGTGAATGTTCTTGCCTGAGAGTGTGCTAGAAATAAACAATAGAAATCACACTTAAACTTTCGGTTCTACGTTTGCAATCAATGTTTTCCAGAGGGAGGCGGAAGTTTAATAATTTGAACAGCAGGCCAACATTGTCTGAAAACTCAAGAAAGCTACATCAGCCTACAGCACAAAAGATCTCCTCAAGTTAAAGATTGAAACTCTGGTGAAAACACTGTCAGAAGGAGTAGCAAGTGTTTTATTTATAAAGTATATTTAATTAAAACTGGCAGTCTGATGGAGCATCCTTTTGAACAAGGGCTCAGTCAAAACAATGCAACGACAATGAAAAACATCTAGAATATGCGTTACTATTACTTACTGTACTTAACGTCATAGCTACCATGCC